AAATCACAAAGAAATCAGTTTTAGGGAATTTGGAAAATTCTGATTTGTTTATGATTTGTTTAATGAATCGCAAGCAAATGATACTAACAAATCGCAGAATCACGATTTGAAAGAGATTTGAATACGATTTGAAAGCAATTTGTTCATTTATTTTTCTGTTTGGGTTTGATGACAATGAGATGTTGCATTGTGATTTTGAAAATTTTTAACCGATGGATAATTATCATTTTCAGATAATTCATTGGCAAGTTTCTGTTTATGTATACGGAGAGAAATCTCCAAATCTAATTTGTCACTTTCCAGAGTTATAATATATGATCTACTAGTAGTCAATTCTTTTTGTAGGCTAGAAATATCAGTTTGTAGTTTATAAATTGTAGAGTCTTTAGCTCTTAATAGTTTTTCTTTCTTACACAAGCAATCTTTAAGATGTGCAATTTCATGTTCGTAAAGATATCTATTACTCATGTCGCCAGGGTTGTTTGAGACCGTGCTTGTTCCAATTTCAGAATGTGCAACCGAAATATTCAGTTCGTTTGGGTCTATTCTTATGTCATGAATATCACTCAAATTAGTTGATACAATTGGCTTTTTTTAGAGACGCTAGGTTTTTCTGGTTGGATTTCTGCCCTTTGTTTTACTACATTTACATCAACAGTATTAGATATAAGCATTTTAGGTAAAGTTTGTTCCATAACATCAAACTTTGAGCTATCCAAATTTTTACATGCACTAAGTTTACCAGAGTTGTTAAGTCTAGGAGTTCCCAAATTAGTACAAAGATGGTTAAGAACATTAGAGCCCTCGGAGTCATTTGCAACAGAGGCTTGTAAGCTCATGCAGCTACGACAAACATATTGCGCTGAGTGGTCGGATGCATAATATCTTATGTCTTTAGGTGAAAGATGCTCGTAGGAGCAATGAAGCCATTTATCACACGTATCACACCCTATTGCTTTTGAAGAAAGTTCACATGGATCATTGCAGACAGGGCAGATATTGGCAGGTGTCACTGACAAGGTATCATTATTGTCTATATGTAGTACATTTTTACAGTCCCTAGAATTGGTGCATTTATTACTTACTATCAAGAGTTTCTAGATAATGTTTACAGTAGTGCTTGGTTGTATTGTTTATACTAGTAAAGTCATCATTCTGTTCTAACACACCCATGATATCTTGTAGTGTTGTTTGAATAAAGTCAATCATGTGATTTTGTTTGCCATTTAGCAGGACCTTTGAGCTTGAGTGGTAAAAGTTCAGCACATATCGCTTAACAGATTTCACTTTTACTGCCACAGAGTCATATATTACAGCACCAGATTGGTCTTTCGTGCTCGTGATGTCTAATGTGTATTGTAAGTTGTTTAATACATTAAAGGTGACATTCTTAAATGTTTCATATGCAGCAGCTGAGAATACCAAGACAAGATTACCAGGACTTATTTCTGGCGTGACGGAGAAAAAACGGTTAGCAGCATCAAGTTTTTTCATAACAGCCTTTTGTCGGTCAAGAGTATACTGAACAGTTTGATCTCTAATAGTAGCCTTAGTGATTTTATGTTTTCTTGATTTAACAACTCCCTTGCCAGGTGTATAAGGCAAATGCTTAGCCTGGACACGAGTACTTCTACGCACCACATCCATTATGTATTGTTTTTATCGTTGTAGAGCCTAGTCGAGGGGGGTGGGGGGGTCATGTACACTCGGGACTGACTCGAGATAAAAAAAAATAATCAGATGTAAACACTGTTCTTAAAAAGTTAAAAAGTTGCTAAAAAAAAAAAAAAAAAAAGGCTAAAAATAAATGGAATAATGTACAAAAGATACGCGGGACTAATGATGTAATATTTACAGCTAAAATATACGTACAAAAGGGACAATAGCTCCGGATGGCAGGAAAATAACAAAATTTTCAAGATGGCGGTACTTTTCCTAAAAGAGCGGCAAGTACAAAACAGCTAAAAGTGTCAGTGGGATAATTAAAATCTACCAAGAAGCACTAAAAGTTAAAATCGAAGTTAAAATGTGATTATGAGCACACAGAATTGATCCAGTATTAAAAACTATGGTATCTGTAGTCTAAAAACTTCTAAAACTTCTTCAGCTAAAAAAGCCGCTGTCAGCCATCACACATGCCGGAAGTCTTTTTCCATTTTTAATGCGAGGATCCCATGTGCCAAATATAGTTATCCTATTACTAATAGAAAGCGAGAAAATCAGGTGACAAAAAAAACTTCAGTTTAAGTATTTGCTGAAAAAGAGGTAAAGTACAACAGACATATGCCAGACAAAAATTTTTGTAACATATACAGTATCTGTATACAATGTATGAAGTATCCAGGGTATTTTACCTTCTGATATACATAGCTTTATACACATAATTTACCCCGTCCCTGTCACAGCTGGATTAGCGTCCCTATGTCTCGCATTCTGCGACTTTCATCTCGGGCAAGACAAAAAGTTTGCAACTGACAATGGAAGTAGTTGAATACTACAAACACGAACTCACAATTTACACTTGAGCTTGGTTTTACAATGCAAACTCACTTAAGTTTCAGTCTGTAACAAGGTACAAAATAAATAAGAACTAACAAACAAAGGATGACGATGATGGTGTATAGATGTTTTATGTATATTGGTATACACGCTTTGTACAAGACCAACAATCTAATGCGGATTTTAGGTGCTACTGCAAAAGGTAAGTAAACACTCCACACGAAGACATGTCACCCTACCAAGAGAGGCAAGACACATTATTCTGAGTCGAAGCCAACAAGTCTTTTATCTTACTATTAAAGCTACCTATTTAACAGAGAAGCAGCAAATACCAATGTTCTAGTCTTTGGTTAGACCAGGTTGGGGACCAAACCTACAACCCTTCGTACTATAGACAAGCAAACTAACAACAAACCATCAAATGGTTAACAATTAAAGAACCTTTGCTGAGATAAACTACTACAATACAAGATATTTATGTCACCAATGCCCCTGCCTCAGTCAATAAAACAAACCACACTATCAATGCACTTCTACATGCCTTATTAAAGGGATAAATATGTGAATGTAAAGAAATAATTATTATTTTCATTAACTGGTAAAAGTCAATATCAGATTATTGTTATATAGAAAGGACGGAATTTGTATAATATAAAACATTTATAGATATGAAAATTAATAAATATATGCTTTCAGTTTACAACACTATTTTTAAATCTGAATACAAAACAAAAGAGTTTAAATAAATTATGAAAATATTATCAAATACTTAATTTGACAAAAGCTATTATTCCACTGTTTATACCTATTGATAGTTTAATCAATATTTGATTGGTTGAGACTATCCCACATGTCATTGAACAAATCTTCATATTCCTTTCTGAGGATCATATTCCCCTCTGAAATGTCGGGATTACATCGTGCGACGTTACGCGCTGCTAATGTACATAACGTTTTGAACTTCTTATTCTTTTTAAAATAGCGATAGCAAAAATCATTATCATGTTCAAATTTATTTCAGACGATAAAACAAAAAGACTAATAATTAAATTTTGCTCCTCACTGTTTATCAATGGGTATGTCGTGTTTAGTTTATCTTATAAAAACCAGCGGATAAGAAATCAAAATGTATGCAAAATAATTTTCTAATGTATTGATAGTAAACAAAGCATAGGCAGTGGAATAAAACATTCATTTCCCTTTGCCTCGGGAGATATGAAGATTTGCTCACCCTCGAAAAATCATATCTCCCTCGGGCAGAGCCCTTGTGAAATATGAATATTCTTGGGTGAACAAATCTTCATATCTCCCTCAGGCACGGGAAATAAATGTATAATATTCTATGTCAAAAGTGTACTGAAATTCAGAAAAAAAATCTAATTAAACTATCACCCCTTAAAAATACTGGAGATGAACATGCTTTATAAGCTCCTTCATCAATGATTTTAAAACCAAATCTTCATATTTTTTCTTAAGAGTGTTTTTTACAATACTTTTTCTAACCATTAAAGCAATCATTATGGAATCCTTGTTATATTATTCACAATAGTTAATTGCTGATTGTTCTGAGATGGGACACAAATTAACTATGTTTTGTTTTGTCCGGTCCACTTTGTGGTCAGAAACCAGTGAATCAGTTTTGTCATTTGTTGCTGTGAATTCAATTTGGTTTTTTGTGTGTTGTTTTTTACATAAATCAGACCATTGGTTTTCTTATTTGAAATTGTTTTACATGTTTTACATTTGTTTTGTCTAGGCTTCTTATGGCTTGCTATATGGAATGGGATTTTCAGATTGTTGAAGGCTGTTTGGTGGCCTATGGTTGCTAACTTCTTTTTAATTTGGTCATTGGCAATCATACCACATCTTTTTAATATTTATTGATGTAACCACTGAGAAACAACATATCTATGGTCTACCAAAAACACCTCTACCTCATTCAAGAAAAAAAAAGAAAACAAGGTACTACAACAGGCATTAAGGATTACACAAGTTAATACAAACAAATGAATATCAATTTTTATTAACATGTAAAAGTCAATATCACAGATCATTATTATATAGAAAGGACGGAATTGGTTTAATATAAATCATTTATAAATATGAAAATAAATAAATAAATACTTAAATTGTAAAGAAAAAACGGTTTGAAAGTGTGAAACAAAAACAAAAGATAAATTACTATAACCATCATCAAATACTTCAACGACAAAGGCTATCCTTCTACGCAAACTGTCAAAAGTTCATTTAAATTAGTTTGAGAATCAAACCAATTTATCATCTCTGCAAAAAATTTTGGAGATGAATAATAGTTTTATGATTAGCTTCTTTGTTTATCACAATGAAATATACATCTTATTTTTAGATACCTATTTATAAGCATTAAAGCAATCATTATAGAATGTTTTGTTATATTATTAACAATAGTTAATTGCTGATTGTTCTGAGATTAGGTGGTGTTTGTGGTAATGGTGGCTGAGCAGGCGGCAGTATGTGGCCACCTTTTCGTGACAATAACATTATCTCTTCCTTCAAGGCATCAATCTCCTGTGCTTGTAGCTGTACTAACTGTATCAGTCTCTGTTTCTCATGGACATCTGCTTTACGAATACCAGAATATTCTTCACCCTGAAATTATAGATGCATAAAAATCATTAGTTATAAACATTTTTAAATATACTTGTCTTTTTCCTACTTTGCTAACAGTCCTATGTCTGGATAAGAATTCATATTTTCTCAATACACTTGATTAATAAAACATTTCTCAGGACAGATAAAAATGAAATACTGGAATTAAACAAGCATTTTAAAACATGACATCTTTTACAATGTCATTGACTTTTAATGTGAACATACATAATTGAGAGAAGTTTTATTTATAAGATCACATATCAAACCTATTTTAGACCTTAAATTTTGCTTTACTTCAAATTTAAAAAAAACTTCAACATTCTTTTTAACACAGTCTCTCTCTTCTAAACAATCAAACCATCAATCCTACATACTAAACTATCTTCATAAATTCCCATCATATTTATCTTTCATTACTATTCTAAAACTAAAGAATTATTTCAATCAAATAAATATATTTTTACTTCCATTTGGTAATAGGACTATGTATTTTTTTCACAGATCAGGCTTTAATAATTTGAGATTACAACTACTTATCTATGGTTTAAGAACAATCTTTCATCTAGTGAGAAAGAGAGTTGATAGTTGCAATTTTCTTTTCTTTGTAATTCTTTACCAATTCAATCAATTTCATTTGATAACAAGCTAATTTATCCATTTTTATTATTTTACATAGTAACATACATACCAGATTTTTCTGTCTAGAATCCAATGATTTCTCAAACTGTTTTTGTTCATTCATAAGAAGATTAAGCTGATCCAATCTGTTTGTATTATCTCTTATCAATAATGTTATTTTATTCTTTTTATCTTTTATTTTCTCCTGAAAGAGATAAACAGCAATATATTGCATGCATTTATACACAGATTCATTTTCAACAGTTCATTCCTAGTCTGAGCACACATTATCAATCAGAATGGTGTAATTGGTATATATAATGAAACTGAAATACTTGCCATTCCTCCAAACATTTTTCAGAAATTACAATAACATTGAAACATTTTGCATAATCACATGCATAATTTTGAACCACATCCACTCAGAACAGTGAAGTTATGTATCATTCCTAGTCCAGGGTGAGTGTCACTCTTTTTTCATGTTAAAGAACCCATGCAACTCTCTGGGGTCCTGGTTGGCCTGTTCCAATGCAAAAATTATTCTCCGATCTTACATACCCTGATTTTCTAGTGGCAGTCCAAATTTCACACCCTAATCCCAATCTTCCCACCTTGCAGAACAATACTTATGTATTTAAGTTGTTAATTTGTTTTGGTCCTGAATATGTATGAAATAATTTCCACTTGAGATTAAGCTATAAATAATCAATCAATCATATCCTGTGTTTTTCCAATTCACAACATTTAAAAACACTCAACACCTTATTTGTCTTTGACCATCTTAAATATACCTCCAACTTTTTTCTAAAAGAATTCCCTAAAGGTTTCTTTTATTCTAAGTTTTCTCTTTCAATTCATCTAAAGCTATCATTCTTTTTTATTTACATAAGATATGTACATCCCCATTTCAGAATGTCATGGAGTATTGTTTTTTTTTTATTTAAATTTTTTTTCTGTTGGTTCAATTTCTACCACCCCTTTTTACTAAAGAAGGATTCTTACAGACCAATATATAACTTCCTAAGAAAATTATATTAATGATTCCCTTAATTTCCCCTTCAATATTATTAACTGCTACCCTCCCCCTCCCTTTCAGACAAACATAAGATACTTACGTCCCATTCTGACACTTCTTCAGAACATTGTATTTCAGTCATTCTAAGTTTCTCCTTTAGTTCCTCTATTGCTCTATTGACTGTAATTGTCTCTAATTTCTCAATATCCACATGTTGACCAAATTTAGCAATCATCATTTCATTTGTCTGTTCTTCCATCTCTCTTATCTTGGCATCAAATACTTTTCTGTCTTTGATTAATGTAACATGGGTTTTTCTTGCTTCCCTGTTAAAACACAAAATTATGTAATTTATTTGTAATTTCTTTCTCTTAAATATCTAATTATTCAGTGCACCTTTGCATTTAACCAACAATAAAAGAAAGAAATAATTACAGCACAGAACATAATTAATGAGGAAAACAAATAATGAAAAACTAGATGTGTTGGGAAACAATGAATGGCTAAGCCTGCTTTCAAATTCCAAGGGACATTATTCTGTAAAAGTAGGCCATCTTAATTAAACTGTGAACTTGATCAGTAACTTAGCATTATACACTAAAGCACTAAAAATGACCTTAATCTACAGGCAAAACAGAAAAAAGTTAACAATTTCAGAACAGAATATTAATGGAAGGACAGTAACAAAAGATTTAATGATGGACAATGGTAACACTATATGCCACTGCCACTGAATGGTATGGGCATAGATATAAATTAAAATAACAAAAAGACAAACAAGTGAACTAAAGGTTATCTTGCAAATGACCTCCTTCAAAAATTTATATTAAGTTTCTTATAAAAGGTGTCAAGTTTAAAGTTTAATTTCCATTTGTTACATCAGCTGATATTTTTATGAAAACTCCAAGTAAGAAAAACAAAAAACTGTAGCCATTGGCTGAAAAAAGATACATTGCATTCTTGTCAAATCACATCTACAACAACTTACTTCATTTGTTTTTTCTGTAACTGTTTTTCATGTTCTAATTCTTTGATTCTGTGTTGTAATCTGTTGACACCATTGGATTCAAATACTAAGGTTTGTGACAAGTCCTGTGGCAATACTGCATTAATCATATACTGTATTTGGTGAAGTTTGAGGGTCACAACCACGTCTAACTCGTTCAACTTTTGCTGTTTCTCTAACTGTAATAAACAAACAGTTAAACAATTAACAACAATGCATATAATCTAAAGCTGCAAACTTGTCACAACTGGATGAAATAAACTGAGCTTTATCTTGAATTTGAGAGTTTCTTGTCAAGGATCTAGGAACGCTAATTAAATTTTTTTCCTTGTTTTGCCATGACTAAACTACAAAGTTAGAACTTGACAGTCAATCAACAATTGTTCTCTTGATGACCCGGTCTTTGAAGAGATTTCCCTTAAAAGTAACCAGAATGGATGTACTATGATCTTTCAGAAGATACCTTGAAGTTTAGTACAAGTGTTATCTCTAGCTATACTAAAATGTGATTTATACTTTACAGCACATAATTACTCATATCTTAAATGAATGGGTCATTAATTTGAAAGTTGCTGAACAGTGAGAAAAAATATATATCTAAAATCACAATAAAGATAATCTTTAGTATTTGCACGAGTATAAATCTATTTATTGATACACTAATTATTTGCAGCTACAAACCTGGAAGGCTTCTAAATCATTCTGAGCTGTCTTCAATGCTCCTATGATGACCTTTAACTTTTTATTCATACTTTCTAATTCTTTCTTTAAAGTTTCATTATTTTTCTTCTCCTCTACTAAGGCTTCCTCTATGTCCAGTCTCTTTTCTCTCATGGCACATGTATTGTCATATAATGTCTGTAAATAGAAAGTAGGAAATGGTTTTTAACAAAGAATCTTGTTGGCATATCTACATTCAAATAAATGTTTAGTGCCATGACATTGTCAGTTTATTTTCGACTTATGAGTTTGAATGTCCCTTTGGTATCTTTCGCCTCTCTTTCACAGAGCAGCCAAATAGAGCAATGAAGCACAATTAATTCTATAAACTGCAATTAAATCTGCTACCTAATAATACCATGGCAATTAATATTTTGTGATCAGCATAACTTATATATTACAATTCTCACAACAATCTATCAACAAAATAGTGTAAAACATGAGTTTTTTATTGGAAGACAAATATCTATTACTTACTTGATCACAGCCTGGAGGGCAAATGTCAAGGTCATAACCTCCAGCATCATCATCAGATTCGTCTTCATCCTCATCCCATTCAGAATCATCATCTGAATCATCATCACTCTCCTCACTTTCATCTAGAAAAGATTAAGTCTCAAACTTAGGGCTGAAGTCTTCTTAAATATGTTTAAATTATAATATGTCCTTGTATTCAAAGCTGTTATTAATCTAAAATTGGCTTACCTGTAAGTTCAATCATTTTATTTATAGGCATTATCTAAATCTCAAATATAACAAGGAAACACTCCCTTTGACATGGAATCTTAATTTAATATAAAAAGCTGGAGCTGTCATTTATTTGAAATCAAAATATTATTTGCCTTCATTTAACCTATAATGATTATTTGCTATTCAATCTTTATATTTTGTGAATTTGTACATTACAACCATAAAACTGTGTTCTCCCCTAAAAAAATGTGAAATAGTTACATAAAACCTTAGCATGCACAAAATATCTGTGGCATAACATTAAGCAATCAACAATCAATCAATCAGCAAAAGTTTAAATCATTGAATAAATTTTTTCAAAGTAAAAAAAATTTTTAAAATTCCATGACCTACCATCCTCTGACACTTTTTTCTTTGCCCTTTTAATCTTTTTCTTATAAACTTTTGTAAGATATTCCGCCCACTGATTTTTATCTCCTAGTAAAACTAAGAACTGTGCTTGTAGTGCTCTGTCTTTTTCTCCCATCTTCTCTATTTCCTTCTTTTTCATTTCTATCTTATTTGTTATTTCTACAATCTGTAAAATAAGATTTTATTAAATAAATGCACCTATATAACTTTCTAATTGTTTTTGTTGAAGGGTTCTAGACAAGTGTCTTTAATTCAATAAATATTGCATCGTTCATTTGATTTTTTCTTGTAGCCACCAGTCACTTTTTTTTATATGCTTCAATGACCCGTTTTATGTGCAATATGAGTTGGTAAGACAAGACTGATATGTAAATATAGTAAATATGTTTAACCCCGCCACATACTTTGTGTGTCTGTCCCAAAGTCAGGAGCCTGTAGTTCAGTAGTTGTCGTTGGTTCATGTCTATCATATTTGTTTTTCGTAAATTGTTTTGTTATAATTTAGGCTGTTACTTTTCTCAATTGAATTGTTTCATATTTTTCATGTCGGGGCCTTTTATAGCAGACTATAACGGCATGGTTTTTTTCTCTTTGTTGAAGGCCGTATGGTTGCCTATAATTGCTTACATTCACTTCATTTGAACTTTGGTGGATAGTTGTCTCAGTGGCAATCATACTACATCTCCTTATTTTTATATTAAGTAGCTTCTTCTGATGTCTTTATGTTTTGTTCTCTCTAACACATATACTGACATTATAAATATGAGTAACTTAGGCAATTGATAAACATCTCCTTTATAAGATCAATAACCTGACACCAATGAAAGAACATTTACCTAGCAAGCTCACATACCCCACTACCGAAAAAAAATGGTCCCAAATTTTCAGATTTTTCTGATTATAGAACTCATCCAGAGTTTTGATTAGTACAAATTTCAACAGGATCCAACAAATAATTAAGTATAACACTAATGTTCTATATAATATTTATAGTAAACCAACCTTATTCTGCATATCAATTTTCTCCTGGGCTTTATTAGTGACTTTTTCTGCCAACACGTCCTCCCTCTTCTCAAACTCTTTCAGTAATACTAACTCCTCAAACAAAGTCACCTGTCTGTAAAACATTCAATATTCAATATCAAAAGAACAAATACTTTGTACAGGTATTATTTTTCAAAACATTTATTTTAACCTTGCAAAATTATATTTTCCTTGTGAAAATATTAAAGATAGAGTTTCAATATAATGATCTACTTTAATTTTCTTTTATACTATTCCATTTTACTCCCTTACATATGAAGCATAGTTAAGTCCTGTGAGGAGCAGAATGTAGTAACTCTTCCTATGCAAATGTGTTCTACCTAATTTTTAGGAGCAGTTCATGTGAACTATTGTATGTCCTTTCCTCATTTTTCTTTGGTCATGCATGGTAGTTTGCATCTTTCTTTTAACTCGAATTTTTTTTGTCCTTTTGGTACCTTTTTGTGTGTTAAGTTCACATCATTTAATTTGAAACGCTAACCTCTTCAGTAAATAAATGGATAATGTGTCCATGGGACACAGATGATGTCCCAGCTTGCATATAATGTTATAAAGGGACATAACTCAAGAACGGTAAAAGTGATGCCATCCATTCAAACTTGATCTGAGTTTCATAACATTTGGTTGAGGCAAACTTAAGTTAGAGAACGGAAATGAAAAATTCAGTAATTTTTCCATTTGTAAAGGGGCATAGCTCTAGAACAGTAAAAAGTTACGCCACCCAAAATCAAATTTGATCTGTGTTTAGTGGGAATAAGCATTGTGTATAAGTTTCATAATATTTGATTGAGGCAAACTAAAGTTAGAGAACGGAACCAATTTCGGGACATATGTACGTATGTATGGACTTACAGCCGGACAAGGGTAACAATTAATGCCCCCTCCACTATGACGGGGGCATAAAAAAAGAAGATGGATGTCCTATTTGTTAAGTATCTCTGAGACAACATACCTTAGATCGGCGTTTTTCATGACAATATCCAATTTGAATTTTTCATGTCTGAGAATTCTGAGTTCTGCATCAAAGTTTTGCACTAATTCATTAATTCTGTTTAATAATCTGTCTTGTTCATACAACATTTTAATGTCCTCAGCTTGTTTAAGTTCTATTTCCAAAGGAGTTAACTCGACATCTTCTAATACTTCACTAGATGCCGATTCTGTTTTAGCTTTGGTTTCACTCGCAAGTCTTGCTGGAGTTGGTGAGACAGCCTAACATAGAAAAGAAAGATGAATATAAACTAAATGATGTGACTGTTAGATATAGATATTTATCCTCAAAAGAAATATGCAAAAGCCTATACATGGACTATCAAGTAAAATATTAATATACTGGATTCATTAATCACAAGTTTGTCTGATATTGAAGGATATAAAACATTTTCTCATAAAATTGTTTTGTAACCATCAGTCAGTCAATTGAAACAAAAATGAGGTCATTTGGAGTAAAAACCCTGGACTCTAAGTTAATGTATTATTTAAGGTTGTTTATCACACAACTGTGTTTAAGTTGTCTGTAATACTGTTATTATTGAGTGAAGTGAATTTCATAGTATATGTTTGTTGTTTTTTGTGTTTTTTTTGTGTTTTTTGTTATTGGTCCCTTTTCTTATTCCCTTGATCAAAACATATGACCGTTATTTGCAACTAAATAACTGTGGCTCTTAAAAACAAGTTGTCATTGTATCACCATGTTTTCCGTTCCATTTTGAATTGGTTATTTATGGCAGATGTAATAGTCTCTGTTGAATTCATACATAAGCTGCTTAGACTTGGGATGATTTTAAATTTGAAATGTACAATTTACAACTGATTTTTAAAGTTTGTTTTTTATGTTGTACTGTTACACCACTGTCCCAGCTTAGGGTGAAGGTTTGGAGCCAGCAAATATGTTTAACCCTGCCACATTCTGAATGTGCAAGTTGCTGTACCTCATATTTGTTTTTCTTTCATTGTTTTGTACATAAATCAGGCCGTTAAGTTTTCTCATTTGAATTGATTTACATTTGTCATTTAGGGCCTTTGACAGCTTGCTGTGCAGTATGTACTTTGCTCATTGTTGAAGCCCGTATGGTGACCTATATTAAGTTGTTAACCTTTATGTAATTTGATCTCTGGTAAAGAGTTGTCTCATTGGTAATTATATCACATCTTATTTCTATATGTAGTATGGATAATTGTTTATCTTTGAAGGTTTTATGTTGGCTTCTTGATGTCTTTATTTTGCTTCCTGTAGTTGGGTTGCTGTGATGTTTTCTACACATTTCCTTATATGTTAAATAGAATTATTATATCATCCAGATATGTGAGTGTGATCTCCTCCATTTCTTATTAATAGGTTGTATGTTTATGAAGAATCATATATTTTATCAGCCTTTCTGTGTAATAATCTCTTCAATATCTACTCTTTTAAAACCCAAAATAAAGATTTCTAGTAGGCTAACAATAAACCAACGTTTCCCGTTTCTTACCTTAGTTTCACCACCAAAGCCACCAAAGCCACCGAAGCCTCCGGTTGAGGATCCTTTTGATGCTTTTTGTTGTTGTTCATACTCCTTCTTGAACTTTATCAATGTTTCCCTTGTATATTCTAATTTTCTGCAAAAGAAAAAAAAAAAAATAAATGATAGAAAATAACATTAAAATGTACTAAATACATGGTCAGTCAGGGGTCCAACTTGTTGAAATATACAAAATTTAATACCATGCAAAGATTGGTTGAAATTGTTTCTATAATTTCAGAGAAGATTTTTTTGAATAGACTCCTAGTGATTGCAATAGCTCAAATGGTAATGAGAACTGATATATAAATATTGAATAAATTTATAGTGTTATCAAAACAATATCATATATTTGGAATACTTTATGCATCAGGCCAGAAAACACAATTATTTCTTAGAGCATTTATTTAGAACAATAACTGCTAACTAAATAAATCACACTGACTCTTTCAATGATATTTTAACCGTGTAAGTACTACTTTTGGGACACATTATATCAAAATTATAGAAAACTTCATCAGCTCTAACGTTAAAGGGTCTTAAATTCAGTTTGACTGCTTCAGACATATCAATTATGACCTTTTCAACTGGAGCAAAATCCATACTTTACCTTAAAATTCATAACCAAATTATTTTAACAGTGTAATTTCATCCCTTACTTGCTATCTGATGCATTAAACATGAAAAATAAATTGGGAAGGTTTTTGAAAAAAATTGCAAGTTACACTGTCCACACTAGGGACTATATTAGCAGAAAATGGAAATCAAAGGACTATAAATGTGTATGAAGACAATCATATATTTGTTCTGTTTACAAAATAGAAAATCTATAAACCATACAGAAAATTCAACTATTATAAAACTGAATGATAAAAATAACTAAAATCTGTGTCAATCTTGGAAAATAAACAACCTAGAATACAGAATCATTTTTTTTATAGAAGTTGTGTATTTAAAGCACTGTATTGAATGACTTACTTTTCAGGCATTTCACATAATTGCATCTCTGGTACTGGTGGGATTGTTTTACGATTTGAATCATCTAACTTTTGACGTACTTCTTTTAAATTGCATACAACATCTTTGATTTCTTCAATAATTTGTATCTTTTTGTCTCTTAATGATAGTAGTTTGAGATTGAAGTTATATTTATATTCATGAATCTACAAAACAGAAGATTATGTCAAGTTAACAAAATCCAGTTGTATGAAAAATATATAGTTACTGTATTCCAACTAATATTCACAAGCGATTATTTTTTGTTGGTAGAAAAAAAAATGTTAATATCTTTATCTTATCTTATATTGAAGTATCACTGGAAATAATTTGGTTATCACATATTTGTTACAAAAACATTGGGTTTTGCATATGCAATAACCGCAGATTTGTCCTGCCTGGGGCATATAACCAGTTATTGTGCCCTGTCATGACGTCATAAGCTTTCAGAACAACAATGACGAACAGGGAACGTCGATAAAAATGACAGCAGAATTTGTTAAAGAAATAAAGAACACTAGTACTAAAAGAAAATCTGACATTGACAGTTTGGGAGCTTCGTAATAATGAAGTTATTTCAATAGAGGACAAGAAAAGTAAAATCTTGCCAGATGGAATAATAAAATAATTTTTCATTTTTTAGAGCATTTGTATATGTGACATATAGATTATAACATGTCCTGGTATCATCCCTCGACCCATTTGAGCCCTCGGCTAGCGCCTCGGGCTGATATGGGAGCCTTGGGATGATACCAGGGCCAATATGGAAAAGGACATGTTATAATCTATAATTACAGATTCTTATATAGATATACAACAACCAGAAAAAAAATTGCTGTCATTTTTAAAAGTCTTAATAGTAGTAAAGTAATAGTAAATGTTTTTACATAACGTAACTGTTATTCCAAGTGTCTGTCTGTATATTATACTTTTAACAAGGTACATATATTAACAAACTTCCAGCTGCAAGCTTAAGGTAGATGAAACTGAATAAATAAGTATCCATTTAAGCACATATGTGACTACCATTACAAATATTCATAATCATAATTCATTAATTTTTAAATTTGGAATAATAAAAAAATCAGGGAATTTAATAATTTTCTTGTGAAAACAATTGCTTATAATTCTTGCTACTCGGTTTCAAAATAACAAGCTTTTTAAAAGACTGTTATAAATTGATACAATATAAATAACTGAACTTGAAAAGCAGAAAAAATGAAAAGTCTGTGTCCTTGTTTTTGAGATTCAATGAATTGAAAATTTGGTGGGAAATGATTCTCTCTAGACTTTTCATACTTTAAACATTGGCACCTTTTTTCTTTTAAAAACTATGAAAAAATAACAAGGATTTTTATAAGATTTTCAAAAATGGCTTTTTAAACTATATGTAATAAAATTATGAAAAGAAAAGTAGGGGTTAGCAGGCAAAATTTGTATTTTTCCATGGAAATATCTTCGTACAAAATTATCAAGTTCTGTCCTCAAAGTTTTGCTTTATTTACCAAGGAATGATAATCAATTATTTAATGCACTTAAAATGATGGAATTTGGATCAACATAATTCTCAAAAACAACTATTCGTACTTATAATTTAAATTTGGAATGCAATCACAATTTCTAGAAAATTTAAGAGAAATGACTTGTATATACATTCTAGTCTCTAAGTAGTCAAGCTTAACAATTACAATGTACAGTTATATAAATCTAATCGTATAGAGTTAAAAAAAAAAAAGGTACTAACCAGATCTTTCAGCACAAGTAATCTTCCTCTAGCTTTTTCTACATTCATTCTCAGATGATCTGGTACAATATAATCCTTGGCTGTCTTCAGATTGAAATAGCCCATGTTATCTTTAGCTTCTTTGATAGAAGCCACATCGTTGGGATCTTCAAAATCATCTTCTGGTTTTGTACTGTATAAATCATCCCACTGTAAATTGAAGTTTGTCATCAAAGTAAACAATGGAAAATAAACATCAGTCGAAAAATCAACATCCAACATAAAAGTACAAATGGAGAACACCCTCTTTTAAGTTCCTACTTTTTCCATTTTAATTGACTTTTGTTAGGCAAACTTGTTAAAAAGTTTATCTGTAACAAGATAATTTATCTACAGTCTTATTTTCTACAATACTCTTGTAGATTTTAATATAATAAGTTAATAAAATTTAAATACAAATCTAACAATCAGATTTTAAAATGTGAGACAACTTTCATTTTATAAATCATTACAAAATAAAAGAAGAATGTGTTTGCATGTTAAAAAAGGGGCATAACTCTAAAAAGGATAAATGACTCACAACCCAAATTCGAATTCTGTCTGCGTGTTGTGGTTCTTAGTATTGTGTATGAGTTTCATAAAATTTGCATGAGGCAAACTAAAGTTAAAGTGTGGAAACAAATAAGGGATGGACGGAGGGACGGTAAAGGGTAACACTTAATGCATAAATATTGCATCAAATTTGTAGATTTGGTCATTTGAACACTGTAACTGTCTCTTGCCATTATCATAAAAGAAAAATAATTTTGCATAAAGGTTTTTAATATACAATACATAAAACCTAAAAGTAAACACTTAATACCTGAGCCCTTCTTTGTGCTCTCTTTTTCTTCTTTTCCTCTACTTTGCCCAGTGCTTTTGATATACGTTCACCCATGCTACCTTTCAGTGTGGTAGTAGTGGTCACTTTGGCTGTGGCATCATCCTGTTTACCTCCTGCATCAGTTCCCATCTCAGTCAGTCTTGTCTGACCTTCAAAATAAATATTGAATTCTTTTAAACTGTTACCAACTCTCAAACTATTTTTTTCTATGTTTAGGCATCTTAAACATCGCAATGAAATTGACCTCAGAAATTAAAGACTTAAAGTTCAAAATTTAACACATGCATTTAGTATTGTGAATATTTGGCAACAGAAAATAATGCAAGCGCAATTTATATGATTCCTATATTATATTGTAGTAGAATATTACTTTTTTAATTAATTTTTTTACTTTTTTCTCTGTCAATTTTGTTGTCCACTGATCCCATGCTGATCTAGTCAGCAGTTATCCTTACCTATATTTAGTGCTTTTGTCCGTTGGGGAATTCATTTATACTTGTATTTCAAGTATATATATATATATATATATATATAACTTTAAATTTGAAGCATGCATGTAGACCTTATTTCCGAAACATGTGTTGCAAACACCCGAAAATTACCTGACAATTAATTATTTACATCCTTTTTTCAGTTTTCATCCATCTTTGTACCCTGTTATTATTTATTCATCCTGTGGTATCAATAAATTGAGACATTCCTATCCAAACAAATCTCCTGGTTGAGACTGGTTACAGTCCTCTTTGACAAAGATTTTTTTAACCATTTAGAAATTGACCAGACAGAAAAAAATTGAACTCAGGCAATGTTACAAATCTTAGAAATTTAACATCACCTCAAACCCCTCAAGTAACACTATCCTATGGTCACCCTAAAGTTTGTGAGATTCCCCGTTCTTACACTCTTGTAGGTGTTAGATATTTCAATGTCTTAAATAATCCTAAATACCTGTCATTAATTCTCTAGTAGGGTCTCTTGTCAGGTCCTCTCTAGTCATGTTAGTTTTCCTCCTCTCAAACTCAGCCTTCATATGATAGAAATCATCTGATAATTTGGCTGCTCTAAAACTAGCAACTTCGTGACTGGTTTCAAAAGCTTTGACAACTATTCTCTCACATTCAACTACATCTTTGTATCTTAGAAAGAAGAAAGATTGTTTTTGTTATAAATATACTGTGTATAATTCTTAAATAATCATATCAAAAGAAAAAAATATTTTATATACAATCACAACAATTCTATAGGTAACAGAGCAACTATAAATATTTTTACAGTCATCTCACTTGTACTTTGATTTAAAATATATTACTTCTAAATCAGTGTGCAGGGTGATATTAACAAGTTCAAGGTCAATCTATTCAAATGACCATTAGTTTTTTACACAAATTAAGGAAATTCTAACTATATCAAGTCATATATTTAAAAAATACCAAAATCGAAATTATTTTCACATTTAACACTTCTATTCAAAATAACATGGTTTCTCAAGTTGATAAGATAATCAATTGACTTAAAAATATACTTTTTTATTTAAAATTTACTTAAGTGAACAGGTAGAATGTGAAAATAGTATTACACTTAAACAAACTTAAAATTGTCAACAACTGCTTTAAAACAGAATTTTTGGAATATAAACAATAATAAATTTTGCAATATCAACTTAATAAAGTTGAGTCTAAAATCGTTATCAAACTTAACATCAATAGAATATTGTAACTATTGTAATTGCACATACCTTTTCCTGAGTTTTTCTAGTGCAATTCTTTGTTTCTCTGATTCCCAAGCTAATTCCTTCCTTACAATTTCTATCCTTTCATCTCTCTGTTTTTGCAATTCTTCCTTAATTTCTCTGTCCATTTCAAATTCCTGAAAAGTAATGACTCTTTATAATTCAAAGTTCATTTAAATATTAAACAAGAATTCTTGACTGTTAGATATAGATGATTCCTGAGCAGATGTACGGAAGAAAGACTAAAATATGAACCTATCAGTTAAAACTTAGAGCCATTTAAGTGTAAAATGTACATTTTGTTAACCAATGTTGCCCAAAACTGTGATTTGCAACATCAATAAATATAATTGAAAAATATTCATTGAACATAGAAAATAAGTATAGAATATTTATAGTCACTCAAGCATTAAATGTCATACATTTGAACTACGTTAAAATGCAGAAAGGATTGGAACTACAAAATAGTCTCAAAATATAAAATTTATTTGTTCAAGGCTAAGAAACAAGTAAAATGTGAGACTATGATAAGCATTTCTGTCCTGTTTTGAGTATACATAGAATATATATTTCGAGACAATGTATAGTTGTTCTCTTTATATTGCAACTCTTACAACTTTTCCAAGTCAAATATTTTGAATAAAAAAATAATGACTATTCTTTATTGATGTCATAAATAAGCTGTTATACAGTCGGTGAATGTATATCACAAATGAAAATACAGTCAATGTAATTTGACTGGCAAATAGCACAGTTGCAGAATAAATAAAGGTACATTGATATGAACATCCATATTTATGAGCAAGCATTCAAATATGTCATTTTGTTTTGATAAAGGTATATTTCTGACATAACTCGTGCATTGTGTTCAGTTTAGACAGCTTTTTATAACACCCAGTTCAGCGAGTTTCATTAAAGTGACATTTTTTATATACCATGTTCAATGAGCTAAGTATAGGCAGGCTTCTGATATGCTGAGTTTTGTAAGTTTAAGTAAAAATAAAATAATAAGAAGATGTGGTATGATTGCCAATATAAGCAGGTTTCTGATTAACTCTTTTTTATGTGAATAAAAGGAGATTGGGATACAAGTCTTTGAGATTATCGAAGATGTGTTTACTATGAATTCAGTTTAAACATGTTTCACAATACTATCTTATACAATGTCACATTCAGTACAGAAAGACAGTTTTCAATACTTTTAACACCAATTTACAAATCCCTACCTCCTTCTTGAGTTGTATGTTCATTGGCAAACCTTCGTTTTTCTCTAACAGTCCTTTGAACTGTCTTCGAAACTTAGAAATCTGTCTTCTAACTTCCCTTTTCTTCTCCTCGGCCAGTTTCATCATTTTGTCATACTCAGCTTTCTGTTTGGCATCTTCAATACTGAAAATTCATAAATTGTTAAATTGTGTAGAATTATGTCTCGTAATGAAATAAAACTATATGTAAGGCCAAATAAAAATATATGTGTGGTTCTGATTCCGGTTTTATACATGCCCTTACCAGAAGTTCGTCATTTTCTATATGTTTGGTTGTAAAATAACAGAAATGTTACTTTTTAAGTCAATTCTGTTGCATATTGTTAAGAATTTGTTGCATTTTTAGCCGTAGTGGATATTTCTAATGGAAATTCAGATGACAGAAGTCGGTGAATTTAATTATTGCCGCTCACATTCCACAAAATGGGATTGTTCAAAAAACAGTTCTAGGTTCAGGGTTTATACTAGGGTTGGCCGGGTAGCTGCAACCACACATATATTTTCATTTGGCATAAGGTAACAGCCTCTCAAATTTATTGCCACAATTTATGAATTCAATTCAGTAAAAAAAATAATGATTTCTTTTTACTTTGCACTTCAGCAACATGTTACAGATTTAAAGAAACAAAAACATTAATGTAAATCAATTGAAATAAAACGTAGTCATCAATTATTTGTGAAACAAAAATATAATATTGTAAAACATTACCTGTAAGCTGAAGGATCATCAATATCATCTCCAACTTTGTCATCATCTTTCTTCTGCAGAACAAAACAAGTGTATTCATCAGTTTTTCCTGTCATATCTATTTCTTAAATAATTACAGACTGACAGTTTCATTTTAATTTTTTTATTGAAACTCCAGGATATTCCGAAATGTATAAGATCTAAAACTATCAATCAGAGATTGCATAGGAAGGGTCCTTTATAAATAAATGATGCTGATAATTGTACTTAACTTCAATTCATTTCATCCTCAATGTCCTAAATGGACCTTAAGCAAGCAACAATCTATCAATTCATTCTTTTGATTTAGAAATAAGATGTTACAGAAATTATAATCCTAATAACAATAAAAGATTATTTCAAAAGACATAGAAAAGGCAACAGAATAAGAGAGTAATTTTTTAGCTCAAAAAAAATATTTTCAACCACCAATGTCATTTAAAATCTTGCTCATATTTTTTTAATCTCTAGTTTTCAGACATCTAATCTATTAAAATTAGAAATTTGCATTTTGTTAAGTATTGAAATCTTAGTTCATAGAGACCTGTAACCAAAGAAAATTGATACCAATTAAATTATAAAAAAAATCAAATTATACTGTTGATTCATTATTAATCGTGGGATACCAATTTTCGTGGATTTCGAGGGTAAAGGTGTGCCACGAAATTAAATGTTCAACGAATGACATATTTTCTATAGGAGTGTACGCAGACTTCGGCAAAACCACGAAATTAAATATCCACAGACATGCAAGTTTTCCTTAATCCAGGGAAATTGGTACCCAGGAAAATAAATGAATTCACAGTATGAAGAAAAAATAAACTAACCTTTGCTGATGGTAGTTTAGCTTTTGCTTCTGCTATTTTCTTGTCCAGGTTTTCTTGTGTCATCACGTTGTACATGAAGAAGTTTCCATCAGCACCTACTGATATCAGACTTAATGCATCGTAACCTAGTTTTAGACCAGTCAGGTGACCATAATTATTGTCATGGATATTGAGTTGCCAGAAGAAATTAAGTGTTGATATATCAAACTCTACATCTACACTATGTATTCTGATAGCTCCATCCTCCATACCAAATAATACTTGTTTACCATTATTACTGAAAAATTAAAGGTCAAATATCCATCAAATACTGTAGGGTCTTGATGTCCTAATTTTGAAATTATTTTTTTTTTACTTGCTTCTAATTTACTAAAAGCATTGGGAAAATGACACAGTATGAAATAAATTGCACTTTGAAAATCTAATATGAAAATACAATCAAATAATCTCATTAAGTTTCATTTTTGTTTTCCAATGGAGACATCTGTTCCCATGCTTTTGTAAGAAATAAATCTACCTTCTCGCTATTCTGTATAATTTTCCTTTGATCTTTTTTTGTGATAATTTTTAATATCATGCTACTCGCTTGAGATAGAAAATTATCTTCAGAAACTAAGGGCGCATGTGCCGTCATCAATGACATCATAGGCAAAAAAGCGATAAAAAGATTATCAATGGTCTTTCAAACTCGATCTCAACTCAGAGCTGTCGCCCTTCGACGAGATTGCAGCTGAGAAACACCCTCTCCTTCGAAAGACCATTGATAATCTATAAATATCAATGTTTACTTCAACTGTGCGATCTCTGAAATTTGAGTGCAAACTATGAAAATATTTACCTAAATGTAATATTATGTATAGGAACATCATTTGATTCTAACACTGGGACATATCTGATAGGCTCGTCATGTACTTCTTCTGGTAACCCTGCCTTCTCTGCTTCATTTAAAAATTTACACTCATACAAGTAACCAGCATCAAACTCTCCCTAAAATAAATATTGTTGTTTTAAAAAGCAAGTTCCAAAAAATACCTGGCAGATTCTTTTATTTACTGTTCACATTGATAAAGTTTGCAGAATTAAGTGTATACATGTTCTGAGTGGGATGAAATTCTACTTTATCTTTATATTCAGAGTTGTAATGTTCTGGAAATTAATAATAAGAACTTAACCACTGATCTTCCATGAACTTGAAATTGAAGTTTCTAAAATAATAATCTGGTAAATAAATTTTTTTTTTCTCTCTTTCTCACTTATTCAGATTTTTCATATCTTCCTTCAGATCTGGATATCTGATGTTGTATATGGTCTGCTTTGACCTGTGTGGTGTAATTTAAAAAAGTAAGTATTCCATCAAATTTGACAAGTACTAGAATGTACGAGTTCTACTATATAAATTGAAAAAAATATATTGAAATTGATATACACATACAAGATGAGCAAACGTATCAAAAATGCACAATTATCTAAGACAATGATAAAGTTAACTCACCATAGATAGCCAGAATTTGCCTTCATCGCTGTAATATCCAGTTAATATAGGACTTGCATTCTCTGGGATATAAGGGTGCCATTCAGGCTCTGGTTCTTTCTTTCCCTCTAAAATTCAATCAAAAGTTGTTTTAAATTCTAAAATCACTATCACACAAAGACATTTTATCCACTTTCCAATGTATATTCTTGTATAAAATGTTGTGAAAGGATTAACAAAACATTTGTCAAGACATTCAACTCATTTGAATGGGAATATATATTTTCAGCATTGCAAAAATAGATTATGAAATTAAAAAAAGACTATCTATAATACTGTTAAAAGCTCAAACAGTTTGTTTTTAGCACCTCAATGTGAAAAGTACCAAACAAGGCTACAAAAAGTATATCATAAGTATCATTAGTACCCGGTTCATCTCCTTGCTCAGATTCTGTTTCTAATCCTCTCTCAATCCTTCTTCTTCTGTCATCTTCCTCTTTTTTCTTCCTTGCAGCTTCTTCTATTCTCTTTTTTTCTAGTTCTTCTTCATGCTGTAGACAAGCAATTCATTTTAAATATAATGCATGTGTGTCTAATTTGGGTTCACATATCATTATCTAATGTATCTAAAATCAGCACACTGGTTAAGAAAAAATTCAATAGCAGCAGAAAATGTAGGAAAATGGTAAAAATGACTAGTATTAACTAATGTAGACATAGTCAACTACAATTCACTTAAATCCTTTTGTGAAACAAAACAGAACGTCATAGTACACATTTAGTCAATACCAGTATCTGTCAAAATCGACCTTATGGTGCAAAATAACTTGCGATATGCATGTCAGACACAGACCCAGAATTTGATGCTAAGGGGGCACAACTGAGAATTAAGAATTAGAGATCCTTATTTTGATACAAAATTGGCTGTAATTTTACCTTTATTGCGTTTGTTTTTCTTTGATGGGGGATGGGGAGCACTATTACATGCCCTTGTCTGAAACTGCTCCATAACTAGCATCCTACTACTAAATGATACATGTGGTAATGTCTGATATTTTGTATTAACTTTATTCTGTATTTAATACTTCTACACTAGAACGTTTTCTTTGCTAAGGGATTTAACTCTGTGTCATTAAAATCAACTGCCTATTCACTTTTAGTCAAGCCTGAAGTGTGTATGTTACAAGCAAGTGATTTTTAGTGCTTAAGGACTAAATTCTTCATAACTCTAAACCTTATATTTGGAACTGTTCCACTTGGTAAATATGTCTCAGTGGTGAGGGAGAAATGATTGACCATAGCATCCATGTATTAAGAGATTTTTCCCATGGTTCAATTTCAATTTTTCATTCTTTACCTGTATTCAGTTTTATCCTAATTTGAGTGGATTTTATACACCTTATCGCTATTTGGAAATCTGCGCTGGTTGACCTTAGAATCTGCGCCACTTGAACTTTTGACGTCAAACAACAATCACTTTTCCATTGTGGCATCAGATATTTTCTATTGTGACGTCAAAATTTACGGGAACCTTCGTGATGTCTAGTAATGGTGGACAAATAGCAATAAGGTGTATTGTATTTTTTCAAGTCACCATATAAACTTTTCGTGTTACAAAACATCTTTATGTGTTGTCAGTTTGATGAAATGATGGCTTGTTGCTACATCTTGTCAATTTAAAGGGGTTTCAAAACTTATTCAACCACAAGAGGAATACATGCTGTGATAGTGCTCCAAGTGACTTGTGTGTGTGCACTGTCTTTTCATGCTGGGCAGCAATCTTGGGCTTAACATTTATGATATTGCTAATTAAAATATATTATTATGTAGGTTTATCATTTTAGCCCTAATGATAAGTTTTTACTCACTCGAACTTTAGATTTTATACTTTTAAACTGGTACTGTTTCATGGGCAAGCCTGTTATGTGATATGTATGGGAAGTGTCAAACTTGGCTCCCTCTGGTGAATCAATTTCTACCACATAACCTTCTTCACAAAATACCAATAATGTTGACCTTTTCTGAAAAATAATATGATTAAATCATAAGAGTAAAACTGCTTAGTTATTGGCTTAAATATTGTTTTAGTTTTAAGTTGCAATAGATTCTTTTATTTTAAACGACATCAATTGAAAACTTAACATGGAGCATATCAAATGAAAGTTTACATCTCTTTATATTCTTGCTTTGAATAATATTCTGTAATAGTTAAAAAAGTAATCTTAAATAATTTTAATTGTCATATGAAGTTATTAATTAATATTTTATAGTGTGTCTTTGTATGTTGTAATGTTACACTAATATTTCAGGTTAGGGTGAAGGTTGGCACCTGTTAAAACATTTAAGCCCACTGCATTTGTTTGCACCTGTCCTAAGTCAGGAACCTGTTGTTCAGTGGTTGTCGTTTGTTGATGTGGTTCTTAAGTGTTTCTGAGAAACACTTAAGAACCACATCACATAAAAAGAACCACATCACATAAAAAACAAGAAATGAGAAATTGAGAAATTCTCATTTCTAGTTTTTTATATAGATTAGATTGTTTTCCTGTTTGAATTTTTTGTTCAGTGTGAGTCAAGGCTCTGTGTTGAAGGCCTTACTTCGACTTATAATTGTTTACTTTTAACACATTGTGACTTGAATGAAGATTTGTCTCATTGGCACTCGTACCACATCTTCTTATTTTTATTAAACTACACATTGAAATGTACTAGATTTTTCCACGCTTAACATTTTGTTGCAGTAGTTTTTAACTACACCACAGCAGAATAATTGATTTATTGTACAAGCCTTCTAAAATTTAGTTATAGTATAAAATGACAAAAATTGAGAACATACAAATGTCTATACAAGTGTAAAACTTACAAATCTACCAGGTGACCATTGGACTTTCCTCACAGGTGCTGGCACTTGTACAAATCCTATAGGTTCATATGACAAACCATTGATATTCATAAAGAAAACTGTACTGTCCTCTCCCTGCGATATACAATCAAAATTACTAATATCTAGTCTAAGCTATACTAATGGATATTAAGATAAACATATTTATAAATGTTACCTATACATGCTATATGTTTAATTTCTATTTCATGTTATATCACTTTTTTTAATTGCATCCAGTTATTATTTCAGCTCTTTTTAAGTGATATTTCTTTTTTGGATAAAATTGCATCTGTAATCATTAAATCAGAAGCAAATGAAATGGCTCTTCAAATAAAATATGCCTGAGGGTACCCTTAATAATAAAAATATAAAAATCTAAAGTGAGCTTTCTTTCATCAATCATAATGTTGTGTTAAAATAATGAGAGATTTGATCAAAGCAAATTTGAGTAGTTGTATGAAGTGTTGATGGATGAACATTTGTATACCACAATAGGTTGAGTCTTTGATGAGAGTATAAAAAACAATAAGATGATCTAAATGTGAATTCCATAATTATGGGTTAATCATAATAAACTTTAACAAGTCATACTTGTTTGCAAGTCTTACCCCCGTTGCTAGAATTTCTCCAGCATGATCGGTTGCTATAGATACAACAGATTTGCTGTGAGGTTTGAAAGCCTGTATGATGTCAAGTTCAACAGAGTTTTTATGTCGTTTACTATGTAAAGATTCCTCATCCAATTGTTTGATGGCCAGAACTCTGACTACGCCATCCTGGAATCCAGCAATCACTGTAGCACATTTAGTATCTACCTGAAAAGATTAAATATTTAAATATTTTAATGACATAGTCTTAAATCAGAGTATCTACGATTTTGCCATAGGATATAACTTTTGAATAAATGTGTTCAATTCAAAGACATATAATTAGTTTACTGCAAGGCATCATATTTCACTTAAATTTGTCATATATGGCCACAGACCACAATTAAATTCTCTATTAGTTCTTTATAACGTTTTGTTTCATTAAAAAAAATGCACCGATTCTTTTTGTCAAATATTTTGTGTGTGTAAAGTACAGTACTAGTCCAAACATATATCAAACATTCAGAAATATCGCTCTCCAGCATCTTACAAATTTAGCCAGTACACATCCATACCCCTATGGACAAGTCAAGAGATGTTCCGAAAACTGTAAATATCACCTTTTTGCACCTGGCCTAATTACTCTTTCCATATCAAAATCAGTTAAAATACAACATCCAAAAGTTTATTTCACCTCTCTTCTTTCATTTCCATCCAAAAAAATTCAAGAAATGAGTGAGGAAGGGAAAGAAAAAAATTTAAGAAAAATTACATTCTAATTAAAAGGAACTATATTCGTGGACAACGAAAAGCGGGATCATTAATTGTGGTCTTTGGCCTATTAGGGGTCTAAAACTTGACCAATTCTAATAAAACTTGGCATGATTTAAGCTTAGTGTATTATGAAACAGTTTACAAAGTTTCAAAGCCATATGATACCAATTATAAAAATTGTGGCATTTTTTATATCTGAACTTTGGGTGCTGAATTGTGGCGTTGAATTAGAATAATTTCAACTATCAAATTTGGGCTTCTAAAAACCAAAATATACCAAAACTTACACTTTTTAATGTCTCTATGTATAAGTTATCACCTATTAAAAGCAACAGATAGCATACTTCATGTTTCAGACTTATAAAAAATGGCCAGAAGTAAATTTCATATGAGCCTGTGCCAAAAAATAGAGGTTTTCAAATGAAGTGAGGCCTTATATGAAATGTAATATTTTTCACTTACCACAATTTTCTGAAGTTGTTAAGTTATAAAAAACCTTTTACATGTTATAAATGTACTTTTAATGGAAATATAAGTTTCAAATAGCATAACACATGTGAATAAAATGGTCTTCAGCAATGTCAAGCTTAAAAAAAATGGTTGTCAATTTAGGTCGTTCCCCACATTTGCATATTAAAAAGCATATAAATGATATGGGAGATGGAGATATGCTTCTTTTTGCTCAAATCTTTGCTCAGATATGATGAAACATGGAGCCTGGATGTAACAAGACTGTCACTTTCAACTATATATGTAGACAGTATGATCTGATGTAAATTTATTTACTTTACTTTTTAAAACCAGCATGAAATTCCAGCCTCAAAAGGCCAATATTTTAACCACTAGCTATCAAACAAAAGAAAAAAAAGGTAGTCTGTGAATCAGACAAGGTCAAACAACCAGTAGTAAGTGCTTTTGATACAGATTCAGTGAAATCTGCTAAAAGGAATTCAACTTGTATGTGCACAGAACCTCATTTTTCACTTGCTTCATACTGACCGTTAGACTAAGACCATTAAAGCAGCACATTTTGCACTCTTATTCTGATTTTATCTACTTTTTTTTGTGTTCAGTGTTCAAAAATGAGTTAAACATCTACATTAGATACCACAAACACAAATAGAAAATCAGAAAAACCTGTCAGAGAGAAAGTAAGCATGCTACTTTTGTAAAAATATTGAAACAACTGAAAAAGTTCAATTTTGGGCATGTAGGCTGAAATGTCACTTTTTTACAAAATTTCTATCAAATAAAGTGGAAATCATTTATTCTCATGTAGTTTGACAAATTAATACCAATAGATCATTCAGGGAAGTTGTCGAAGTCAGAGCTCCAGATAAGAATTCACAAATTGGGGTTTTTACCCACCATTTCTTTATGTAATTGGGTGATAAAGTTTTTTAATTGCATTATCAATTCCAATTCACCCTTCAAGCAAATATCAAATTGGGTTTTTCACCACCAAGCTCCTTAATGTATTGGGTTTTTTCATCAACACAATATTGAATATTTAGGCATGTTATAATCACATTATATCAACCCCAGATGTGTTTCCATCTTAAATGTGTTTCTTTCTTTGTAGAATATGTGCTAGCTGTTTTATTTGGTTTATCCACTGACGAGCAATTGTACATTTAATTGTGTCCCGTTTTAAACGTTCTGTCAGTTTTGTATTTTCTCAAAACTTATGTAAACTGCAGCTGGTGTCACTAGTTGGACAGGAACTAATTGCCTTTCTAGATCCCATATGATCACCCTACAGTTCAATTATAGTTGGGGTAGGTGTGGCTAAGTGTTTAGATTTTTGTGTAATATATGTGAAATTTAGGTGCTGTAAGAAAGTTTTGCCAGTCCTTTCACCTTTTTGCCAGATCTACTTTTTAATAAAAATAAAAAGTAGTTTCCAGATTTAAGATATATCACAAAACCTTGAGGTTTATAGGGTGGTTTATAATGACGGAGACCACATTCAACTTAAATTTACAAATAATTCTGCAACATCAAGTAAATAAATGACAATGTTATACTGCACTTGCAAATAAGACAACTATCTTAAGCATCTAGAACAATTAGACCAAAACAAAGAAAGTGTCAAGCTGCATTGACGTAAAAAACGGATATGTGTATTCACTCATCAACTAAAATGAAAAAAAATAATATATAAACTGTTTTCGTTTAATTCAATTTACATAAATCTGGGTTAAATTGTCCCTTATCAGAACTTTTGGTTTCCGATGCTTTCAAACTACATATCATGTCATAATTGATTTGGCCTTTCACTTTTTCCAACTGATTTCGTTTTTGACGGAACCCCGTGTTTATCGCTCTAGCAATGTTCTCGTTATGGTACGCAAACACGCCCGTGCGTTCAATGGCCGCTTCCTAAAATCACTAGCTGAGTCTTGTTATCATCATAACTTTCCCTCAGCTATCAAAAAGAAGCCGAAAACATGCTTCTATTCAATATTTTTACCGGACATTTACTTTCGTTTTAATTCATTGTATGTTATGATAAATCCCGAGCAATTCGAAAAAATATGACAGCATGTCACACGCTAATTGGATAAACGCCGAGAAGATCGAAATGTTTTCATAAACACGTGTACCTTTTGAGCAACGAAAAATTCCAACAGGGACCCATTACAGCTACTTGATGGAGGGCTCTATTTTTAGAACGAAAGGACATTTCCAATTATAAATATTATAAAAATAGATTTACGCGACGACTGTAATCAAGTAAGGGTAAATAACGCAAACGATAGCGAATAAAAGCGTTAAGAACCCATGTTTTTGGCATATAATTGGGTTTTCCTTTGAATTAATTGGGTTATTGAACCCTGCAATGGGCAATTGCATTGGGTTTTTAATTATTTTTATTGCGTGATCACGCAAATACGCAGCTTAACTGGAGCTCTGCGAAGTACAAATTCAATATTTCCTGAATTCACCTCTTAGGCCACAGACCACAATTAAATTCTCTATTAGTTCTTTATAACCTTTTGTTTCATTAAAAAAAATGCACCGATTCTTTTTGTCAAATATTTTGTGTGTGTAAAGTACAGTACTAGTCCAAACATATATCAAACATTCAGAAATATCGCTCCCCAGCATCTTACAAATTTAGCCAATACACATCCATACCCCTATGGACAAGTCAAGAGATGTTCCGAAAACTGTAAATATCACCTTTTTGCACCTGGCCTAATCACTCTTTCCATATCAAAATCAGTTAAAATACAACATCCAAAAGTTTATTTCACCTCTCTTCTTCCATTTCCATCCAAAAAAATTAAAGAAATGAGTGAGGAAGGGAAAGAAAAAAAATTAAGAAAAATTACACTCTAATTAAAAGGAACTATATTCGTGGACAACGAAAAGCGGGATCATTAATTGTGGTCTTTGGCCATATATATATATTGAGGGAACCGTAGAAATAGGAAGAACAAGGCTCCCAAGCTTTTCTCCTGTTTCCTAGCGAGTACACATAAATTATATTTTCCCCTCAATGCACGTGTTTTGTTATATCCTGCAATTTAACCTTGATACTATGACATTTAGTGTTTTAATTCCAAACAGTTGTCTTTCTTCTTAATAGAAATCAACATGGCTTAAACACAAAACAAAACAAAAAAGAGCTGTGACATAAACAGTTATTTCACATGTTTGCTCAACAAAGAAGCAGGATACAGGGAGACTTTAATTGTATACTATATATAAATACAGAAACAAATTATTTGTTTACCTGTCAAATGTACAATAGTTTAAATACAGGATAAACTCATTTAACAAGTTTAACTTATTTATGGAAATTAGGACTGTTATAATATGATGCTCCATTCTATAAACAATTTATCTCTTTACTTACAAGTTTAGGTGCCCATAACAATGCTGAACCCTTAGAGGCATACTTCTTTTCACAAATCTGTTTTCTTTGCACATAATCAAACAATCTCACGGTTTCTGAAATATTAAAAAAAACGCGAATTATTACTTATCTTACATTCTCTGATAATTTGAAAAGATTAACCATTATAATAATTATGCGCAATTAATTATCATTTTTTCCAATATTTGTTTTAGTCTATAAAATTTAAAATACCATAAAAAGTCGTATACAATCCATATTTATTTATAACCTGCACACCCTTTTTTCCAAAAGAATTAAGGATATATTTTGTTTTGTCATTTGGTGAAACTATGGTAAGTTTTAAGTCACATGTGTTTGTTCACAGTAATTAATTCCGTAGAAAAATCTTTCTCACTACCCCTGAAATTCATGAAACGTAGTAAATTTTAAGTATGCACTCTGATAGTTGTCTCATTGGCAATCATACTACATCTCTTCATATTTATACCATGGTTTACAGATGGATATGGTGTATTTATCCCTGATACAAAAGTCTTACACACACTTGACATAACCCAAAGCAAATGCACATTTCTTTTACTGTTGATCTCCAACCATGAAGTCTTCAGCAACAAGCAAAAGCTAGCATTTCACTTTCAGTTCAAATGGCCACTAGCAAGGTTTTGAGAAGAATTCTTAGCTAGATGTCAAAATTCTTAGAGATTATAATAAATACAATGAATAATTGTCAAACTTACGATCAACACCAGTCGAGGCAACCAAGTGACTCTCAGGTGAAATGTCACAGCCTAAAATAGCACCAGCATGATAAGTGAACATTTTCTCTGGAGCAGATGATGTATGGGAGAATGATAAATCTAACTTCCAGATTCCACCATTAGCATCCTAAAATACAATAAATCTAAATATAATATATTCTACTATGAGTATAATATAACAATCTGTAAACTATTATATTGCATACTTACCAACACTCATTCGCTATATATAGCCAAACAAAATTTCTTCTGCTATATATAGCCAAAGGTAATTCCCCAAAAGTAAAAACAACTTCAGCTTAATACAAGATCTTTCTAGTAAAATTGTATATTAAATTCATTTATAAATAAGATACTGTGGATATTTGATTTCGTGGTTTTGCCAATCTGTGCATACAAAGCCTATAGAAAATTTGTAATTAGTTGAACATTTGAAATTGTGGTTCACCTGTACCCATGAAACCCACATAAATTGGTATCCAATGAATAATTATGAATCCACAGTACATTATTTTGTTAACCAAATGAGAGGACTTCACAAATCCTTTAATCTAGCAGACAAGTTTTCACAGTATTTCCATACTGCTGTGAAATATGAAAATAACAGACACTATTTGCATCAAATGGTTATGTTATGAATAAGGGCTTTTCCAGGAACAAACGTAAGATAAAGGGTTGGAAAGTAATTTTATTTTGACCAAAAATAAAAAAATATTGTGATTATGTCTTTTTACACAATTATCCAAAACCACTAACTCATTTCTAGTTATAATAGAAGTGCTCATTTTTTCCCAATGCAAATATTGCTTAGAAAAGCCTTTGAAAAATAATGTTCTCATATATATATCAGTCATCTTTTAGTCAGGTTCACTTAAATTTGTCAAAATTCCAATGTCTACAAACAGTCTTATACCTTCTATATCTATACTAACCTGTGCATACCAAACTGTGATCTCATTTTCTGCATCTGTACATTTTATTATTGATTTGAGATTTACATCATTTCCTACTTTCAGTTCATTCATTGGTTCCATTTCAAAAGTAGCTGAGTCATCAGTAGTATCAGCTGTGTCAATACTCTCAAAATCCCAAACCTAGAAATGTACAATTTAATACTCTAAAAATCCCAAACCTAGAAATGTAAAATTTAATACTCTCAAAATCCCAAACCTAGAAATGGACAATTTAATACTCTCAAAATCCCAAACCTAGAAATGTACAATTTAATCATTGACTCTATAAAATATAAACATTTATAAAAGAAAAACATTTTTAACATAAACAAAATTTGAGGTTTATACAATCTTTTTGACCTGACCTTTTTCTTAATCAACCACACATTTACAGTCATAAAAGTGACATGAGGTATACTATTTTGTACCGGACATCGATCGAGTTTTTTAAAAGTTATTTTCTGAAATTTAACTGGTTTGCATCTAATTAATATAGCAAAACTGATTAAGTCTATCAGATATACCTTTTCAAATATGATAAAATGATCAATTTCAAAAGGGAGTAAATAAAGGTATTTCGGGAAAAAATTGACAGAACCATGTTGTTTGAACTAGTACAGGTTTGCTTATGTGTGCAGGAGGGAGATTTAATTATGCATTAAAATTCTTCCAAAATGCTAAAAATATCATTGATAGCTTTATCTTATGTAATTTAAAGTATTTTCTTTAAGAATGATGTGAAAAGAACTCCTCAAACTCAATCATGCTTGATAAACACACATGGATTTAACATCTCCATTTCTGGTCTGTGTTTTACCATTGTCAAGTCAACATCCCGTTATAAGAAAATGTGCTTTTTAAAATGAAAGAAAAGTTTCTGATTGCATGTTTTTGGATTTTTAAATAGTCCAAGGCAGATGTTAGTTATACAGATACTACACACTTCGAATGATAAACTGTCAATGAAACAGTTTAGACCAGAACAACGAATTTATATCAAAAGTCTGAAGTTTAAAATCGTTTTTATGTCAATCATTGTTATCTGATGCCCAAACTATAACCTTGACTGCCCTTTGTAATTAAGTCTAAAGGAGTTAAATACAGCAGTTGAAAAGAATATCGGGCTGGCTCAAATTTTTTTGGAAGCCCTGATATACTGCATATGTAAGCTTGTAATTACCCTAATGTAACCATCACTGCCAACAGTAATTAACTCCCCTTCATCCAGCAATATCTGTTCTATAGGACCTTGGTGACAGGACTTCTTTCCTTTCCTGGTAATCTCTACCTTAATCAGACCACCTTCCCACAGTAACATGTTACCCCATTCTGCACCAGACAATACCTTCCCATCAGGCAGTTCAACATAACCTTCAATGTCAGTTATTTCTGTCCTACCAAACTTTCCTAACTGTCCTTGCAGTTTGAGACCAGTAAAGGTGTCGGCCATCTTCCAGAACCTGAAAAAGTTTACCATTTTAAAACATTTTTTTTATATTGAATTAGTATTTACTATTGAGACTAGATTATTTATACATATCATCTTAATTACTGTAAATTCAGAAATTAATGTGAGGTTTTTATTACTGCGAAAAATGCGACTGGAAGAGTATCACAATAATAAGAACTCAGGTTCTAATATCTGATACACATATCTGTATGCAACTTTTCCTAAAATTGCAATTATTAAAATCGAATTTTGGTTGGTCAAAATCGCAATAATAAATGCTCGCAATAATTTATGATTTTACAGTATTAACAAAGTAATTGTTCATTCTTGGCTTTTGTTTACTGTAAATTCAGAAATTATTGCTTGTATTTATTATTGCGATTTTTGAAGAATGGACATACATGCGAGATTAATTATTGCGATTTCAGGAAAAGCTGCATACAGATATATGCATCAGATATCAGAATGCGAGTTCTTATTATTGCGATACTCACACAGTCGCATTAATAAAAACCTCGCAATAATTTCTGAGTTTACAGTACTTATTTTACAATTTTTCAGAATGAATAAAATGGAAGTTAAGAGTATAAAAAGTTTGGTAACTTGTGGTCTGTCCCTGTATAAAGTTCTTTGTATTACTGGACTTAAGCCTGACTGAACTGCAACTATAACACAACATTACCTGATATGAGATGTTCCAGCAGTAGTCAGCTGACCCTCTAGGTCTGCAGAGAATGTTACTCTGAAGACATCCTGAGAGAAAGCTTTGTATCTAAGAACTGTCTGCTCTTTTTTCCATTCCCATAAGGTTAACATGAAATCTGGATCTCCACCTTGTGATGCTAAAAGGTTACCATCAGGACTGAAAATATAAATAGCAATTAAATCACAGACAAATATGAGTTAAGTAGCCAATTCATATAAAAAGCTTGATTAAAAAATAAGGTAAGAGAAAAACGCAGAAAAAAATACAAATTTTGCAGTCTTGAATTGTACGAAAAGCCAAAATGTACTTCCTGACATATTTTTACTGTTTATTTGTTCAAAGGGGTTAACATCCCTGACTTAACATGGTAAGACCGTCATGCTGGTAAGTATTATTGGTACAGAAACCAAGTATTATACATAATCTAAACTCCTATTTACAAATAATACACCTCAGTTGCATAACTTAAGATGATCTTTACCTAAAATTTAGAGAGGCATATGATTTTTCTGTTCCACCTCTGAGTATTCTGTACAATTTCAATGAAGGGTACTCAAATATGTTAATATTTGGTGTGTGGCCTTTCTCTCCAACAGCAAAGTATTTCTGACTTGGATGAACCTAAAAAAAAAAATTATAATTTGTTTTACCAGTATGAATCTTAATAATATTTGAGAATGCCACAAACAAAATAGTAATAAGACAATCAATATCTATAAAATTTGTTGTTTGTTAATAATGTAAAATGTTCAACTGCTATTACCCAGTCTAATCATTAAAGAATGTTCTCACTTTTATAATTGTTTTTATTTTAATAAATAAAAATAGGAACTCATCAAATTGTTGCCATTCTTCAAACAGCTTCTACAGTTGCTCTAGATTTTACCATTTGTTCACTTTTGCTTTCCTGTAATAAAACAACTTGCTTCTCAGTGGATATCTTATCTCAATGATTTTTTGTTGAAGTGTTGATGGTGACAGATCTTTTGTTAAATTTATTCCCAACCTGAGAATTTAAAAGTTTTTGTGATCCTGTCTCATAATTTACATATAGCCCATATTTTTTATTCACATAAAACAAACAAAAAAATTTATGACATTAAAATATAAAAGTTACCGTAATGGCACCAATACCACCACCACTGGTACTACGCAAATATTTCTGTTCCTTTGTAATCAAATCTAATATCTGAACAAGGTTACCAGCAGCAAAACAGACAGTGTGATCATCTAATAAGTGTAGGTTGTTACGTTTGGTACAGTCATAACCAAATGAATATCTAGTTACTTGTTAAGGAGTTTTAAAATGCAGATATGTTTATGGTTTGATACTGTTAGGCCACTCTAAGTTGATTTTTAGTTCATTCCATATTTTACAGCTATTCCCTTCAAGACTTCCAGAATTTTCGCTCCATTTAAATGAAATCAACAATTTCTTTTCTAAAATGTTCTCGCTCCCTTCCTCTACCCATTCACATAAAACGCCTTCCTTTATCAAATTACAGATATTGATTTCTAAAATATTCATTTTTGGTAAACACAAAAATTTTAAATATTTTGCTCTCTCATTTCAATATCTTCACATAAAAAGGCTAAACTTATTTTTAACTGTTTGAGACTCAAAGCACTAGGAGCTGAATGTAAAGAGACATGTCTATTATTGCAGGCCCCATGTGGATCTCAAGATATCTAATTGTTTTTTTGTGTGTTATGATGTTGACATGCTTTTACTGGTTCTAATACTGCAACATGTTGGCTTCATGAAATCTACTTATCAAAATGACACTAATAGGGATGTTTAACGACCTTGACTACCTATGACGGTCGGTAATCAAAATTCCTGGGAGATGTTGACTGGACAGTTGAATTAATTCAGCAGTTTATAAAATGATCCTCATTTTTTAAAATTACTTTTTGAATTTCTAAGGATGTATTCTTCTGAGGTTTCAGTCTCATTGAAATCTCTTTCGGGAATTATTTCCAAAACATGTGATACAAGTGGAAAATATTAATGAATATAAAAAATATCATAATCAAACTAAATTCTGTGAAAAAATTGTGTACTTACAATAAGTAGTTTTAGAGTAATAAAATTTTCAAATTTTATAACCAATCTGTTAAGTGTCATCAGCCAAAATGTTGAGAAAATAGGTGAGGGTACAAAGAAATGATAATACCAAAGATATGTACATCCCATATCAATTTTTTCTTTTCAAAATTCTTAGATATGTATTTTTTCAATCATTTATAACAAAGAAGTTGAAATAATATGCTTTTTGTTCTAAAAAAAAAAGAGAAAAATCCCAAATTTACAAAATTGACAGCATGGTCAATTTGACACGAAAAAGGAACAAAATTTTATTAAACTTTCTAATATTAACACCAACCTATAGGTTTTTTAGTTAAACGTATTCAGATTGGTCCACTTCATCTTTAGTGAAAGTATGAAAAAAAGTTTAATTGTGAAATTGTGATTTTTTAATGAAAAATGGAAAAATCATAAAAATTAAATACTTTCAAATGGCTGTAGCAAAAAAAGAAGTGCACCACCATATGATTTTTTCTTCATCAGTTACTTTCTTACGGTCATATAAACCCAAAAATCAGGTTAAGAAAAAAAAGTTTAATTCTAGAAATTTTGTGCTCCTCTTAAGGTGTACATCCTTAAATGAAAATAACTTTCACTACAGTTTGTTAGAATTAAAGGATACTGTAAACTAAGCATGTCTTGTGGAAGTCCTGATCCTTCAGATACAGTGGCCTTAGATACAAAGGTTTCATAATCATAAAAGAAATCATCTGCAATGGTTTTTTCTGTGTCTTTTTTCTTTTCTTTCTTATGTTCACTTTCATCAGTCTCTTTTTCCTCTGGAAATTAAATTTTAAAAAAATAAGAAAAAGTAGTAAAATATTTGTGTAAATATAAGTTCATAAGCTTTGAACACATTTCAGTACTGATTTCAGTCAATCAGAAGATCTAATTGAATGTATTTGTGTAATTTTTGTAACAAACAGGAAACAGTAGGGTTATACATGTACATATATTTCATGAAAAGAAGTGCTTTTGCACTGAAAATTACTTTCTTATGGTTACAACTTTAATAGTATGGACACACTTTTCTCATTTGAATAATTTTAAATACTTTATATAACACATCATTTTTTTTTAAATTTAGAGTGCAAATTCGTAAATCACAAAGAAATTATGTTTTCCTATTGGAACCAGTACAACTGCATTTACTAATTAAATAAATATCTGAGAATGACAAAAAGATAATACATAATATATATACTTTTGACAGAATATCTAACATACGGACCTTCAACACCCTCTTTAGCACTTTGGTTTGTATCAGCCTCGCCATCCTTATCTTTTTTGTCATCTCCATCTTCCTTTCCTTCTTCATCTTCACCCTTCTTCTCTCCTTCTCTATCTTCTTTCTTTTGTCCTTCCTCTTCCTTCTTTTGTCCTTCCTCTTCTTTCTTTTGTTCTTCCTCTTCTATCTTTTGTCCTTCTTCTTCTTTCTTCTGTCCTTCCTCTTCTTTCTTTTGTCCCTCATCTTCTTTTTTCACTCCTTCATCTTCTTTTTTCTCTCCTTCATCTTTTTTTGCTCCTTCATCTTCTTTTTTCTCTCCTTCAGCTTCCTTTTTCTCACCTTCTGCGCCCTCTTTCTTTTCTCCTTCGTCAGTTTTTACTTCCTCCTTTGCTTCAGACTTTTCTGCTTCCTTTTTCTCTCCTTCTTGTTGAGTTTCTTGGGTTGTCTCCTCTTGCTTCTGAACCTCTGGAGCTTTTCCTTCAGCTGTTGTTCCTTCATCAGGTTTAGTTTCTAGGGTTTCATCTTTAGTTTGCTCAGTTGGAGCAGTAGTCTCCCCTTCTGTAGGTTTTACTTCCTGTTCCTGGCTTTCTGAATCCTTTGCTATTGATTCTATTGAAAATAGGAAACATGAAACAAATTATTTTGTTTATCATCTTTTATCATTGTACATTTGATTGAAAAAAAAATGCTTTAGAAGATTACAAGATTCAAGAGAAGGATTTGACACATGTGCTAGAACTATTTCCAGTGTCACAAAAGATAGGAAAGATACCTTCTACTAGCTATTCTTGAGAAATTAATAATTTTAAATAAAACTTTGAAGACAAATCTGACAAGCATGCTGCACAATAATGGTCTTTTCGTGTTTGTGTGAGGCAAAAGGATTTAAAATATCAGACAGTACATCATACCAACTCCAACATTTATTCTCATATTATAGTTTCAATTTTCAAACAATATAAATCATGTAATATGAGTACTGATTTCAGATTCATGAATGCTCTTCTAAATCAAATATTAAATTTTATGTATTGATCCTTTCTCCTTTTTGAGAAATATATCGGTGCCTTTGTACTATGTCAGTGAATGGTTTTTCAAAAGATTACTTAAACATATTTTTTATATGCAGACACTGTTACCTTCAACTGGTTTCTCTTCCTGTTTTATCTGGTCTCCTTCAGTTTGTGGTTTACTTTCTGTAGGTTGCTCTGTCTTTGCCTCCTCTGTAGTGCCATTTGTATCTGATGTCTCTTTTTGTGGCTCAGCTAAAGTATAAAGGGAGATAATTTTAAAAAATTATAGCAAGACCATCAAACATTGTGTCATTACTTATAAAAGTTTAAAAACTTGAGAATATAACAGATATAATTGATTATAACATATGATGTCCTCAAACAATGGCCTGAAATGAATGAAATTAATATTTGGATTTTCAGAAGCAAAAAATAAACAAAAACCGTTTTAATAAATGAAAACAGTATTGATTATATATAATATAAAGTGAGAAAAAAAATAAAAACTGGAAAAAAACAGGAAAATGAATCACTGATGTTTGAAAAACAAATGTTAGTTAACTAAAACTTCTAAATATAATCATAAAAATGAGTTGTAAAACAATGATCATTATGAAAACTTTCAAATAATAATAATTTACTGTAAACAAACATCTGGAATATATATAAGTGAACCATATAAACTGCCTATAAAAATAAATATGTATATCATGCTTTTGAAATTGGTAAGAAAAGATATGTGTTCATGCACATATATACAGTTATCAGCAATAATCTTTTATTTTAATTTTCATAAAACCAGTGCTTTTTTAAAACCCACATCCAACCTCCCCTGTAAAGTTTAAACACCAGACAAGTAATCTGGAATTGTTTACCTCATTGAACAAGTGATTGAATAAAACTGCACAATAAAAATAACAGAAGAAATCAATTATTGTTGATCAACTGTTTATATAAATATCTCAATGTCAAACAGGCAAATCTTCAGATAAAAGTGAGACCTCTGAGTGTTTGAAGCTGTGATTTAAAGTACTGAAACAAAAAGACCACCAAGGCAACAGTTGAACCTGTGACATGAATGCAAATTTTCTGCACATATGTGTAACAAAAAATAAATCTACAATGTACCATGTGCAATTCATATTCCGAAAGACATACAATCAAATGAATGTGTGATTATGCAAAGATCTCATGCCATAATTTCATAAATATCATCGGATACATTGCACCATGCTTCCTGTCATGCCTGTGTGTGTATTAAAGTCATGCCTGCAAAGTTTGTGAAGATTTTGTCAATCCATGCAAAAGTCAATGACAATACTGCTGATCTAAGCTGAAAATTTTAGATTTTTTATAATGATGATTCAAAAGTGATAGTTATATAAGAAATACACAAATCAAATTATTCTAACATGAGAGTGCATTTCATCCATCTAAATACAGATATATATGTAGTTTGAAATTGCTCATGGTAACTGTTCTGCCAGATAAATAATTTGATTTGTATATTCTTACATCGAGTCACATGATCATGCTGAATACTATGATATTGCTGCAGTAAGCTGAAATGTGTATCAATAAATTGATTGCGAAGGAATACCCTCTTGTATAAATGGCCTGTCTATATCAAAGGTTAATATTTCCTGATCCTGTGGTCCTTCTATACTCCTCTTGTCTGCTTTCATCTCTGTTGCAGATTCTCTCCATTCTTCTGTTGGCATTTGTTGTTTCCTAATGTCATCTTTATAAATATTTCTTTCCTCAAAATTTTGATTATCAATTTCTGTCTTGTTTGTTCTTTGTTGAGTGTCCTGCAAACCAATACTGATTAAACCTTTGTTGGTAGACCTCCTTTCATCATTTTTAGTATCTAATTTAGTAGATACATCTTTAGCTATATTTGACTCATTTTCATGATTTTCTTTTTCCGGTTGTTCAAGCCTAGGTTCAGTTTTCTCCAAATTACTGACTGATTCCTTGTTATCAAGGCTACCGCTATTTCCTTCGTATACAATTATCCTTTCCTTTCGCAACAAACTTTCTGATGCTGTTGGAACAACTTGACTACCATTCTGATGCTCCTTGTCTTTGCTAGTTACATTTTCTTCATCCTTAGGTTTTTCAGTTTTATCTAAGAGATCCTTATCTAAATAAGATTGTTTCTCCTTCTGAACAGAAGGTGGTTTGGTTTTCGCTTTAGCTTCAAATGTATCAACTTGACCAACAGAGGTTTGCAGCTCATTATGGCCAACATTCGGATCTACATCTCCTGTATAGGTTTTGTCTTGTCTAGTATTAAAAGTGCCTTCATCAGATAAATAATCATCTGGTTGAATTGGTGGCAAAACTTTCTCCCTGGAAAAAGTCTCCCTTCTATCCTTTGCAGTGTTTCCTCCAGATTGTTGACTGACAGGAGACAGGATAGGAGCCATACTAATGCTTTCACCTGCTTTAGAATTGTCACCCTCTTTAATTACTGATTTATCTCCCTTTGCAGTCTGAGGTGGTTCATATTCAGGATCATCTTCATGTTTTATTCGATATCGACGTAAAGCCTCAGCACGTAAATGAGATGTTGCATGCTTCAGATTTTTAGATTTTTTGGCCTTCCATAAATCTGCACCTTGGTACACATAAGAAACAATTAATGTGCTAATCAGATGTGAAAAGCAGTACTTATCTCTACAGAAATCTGAGATTTTTCAAACATATTCATTTATTTGAAGAAAATACATTGTAAATATATTGAACAACAGACTACTTACATTAATTGTAAGGAAGGTAATAATGTAAAAAATGTTGTGGTTATATTCACAAAGTCCAACCAAAAACCCCTTGAAAGTAATTAATATCTTCTAAACAAATAAATAACATAATGCATATTAATACCAATGTACTAAACTGATTGAAGACGTTATAGCACATTTGAATATATAAATGCATGAATGCTATAGTCTATGCTGTGAACACTACAGACTGACACATCTGGCTGGAGGGCATATTTGTGATTAAGAATTCTGAAATGTATTGAACAATAAAAATCAAACGATGAATTGTATCTTAAATTGAATTTTTTTTCAGAAGAGTGGAAGACATATCTTTTTCAACTCTATTCACACATTACTTTTATGCAATAAAACAGTGATCAGAAATATACTTTTACTTGAAGACAAGATTACTTTTACAATACTTTTTAAATGTTGTATCCTAGAAGTTGAACTTTCAGTGATAACATTGAAAAATGGTATTAAGACCAAATATAAGAAACACAGAACTTCTGAGGTAGCAATACACAGTTAGGAAAAAATTTAAATTGACACTCAAAATTTTTCACCACCCTCTTTTCCTTCCTTTCTAACAAATAATGGTTTATATTTGAGTTATGCATGTGTATATTTATGGAAAGAGCATCTTCCATAGATTTGATTTCCAATAGTTATAAAGGTGAAATATAATCTCTTTTTGGTGTAACCATGGCAACAATCTGCATTTATTTGATACAAAATATTGCAAAAAGGGGGGTGAAAATGTCACAAAAGTCTCCAAAATTTGGTCCAAAGGACAATTTCAATCCATTAGAGTGATACCTTTCCTAAAACTATAGACATTTATCTATCAAGAGGTCCAAAAAAATCATATGTATTTCTGCTCGTTTTTCCATAAAATTGAATTGAAAAGATCGAGGGTCAAATCTTTGTTGATAAACACTACAATAATTTCTGGACCTAGGGGCGGTATGGATGTGTAAATACGGACTGTTAAACAGAAAAGTTGCCTATAATACATGCTAAAAACAATCTAGAGGTTCATATAAACCCACTTGGAAGGCTATATTATTCTTCAACCATCTAAAAGTCAATTTTATTGAACAAAAACTTTCATATTTAAATAATTCACCAAGGCCAAAATGTGAAACTACACTTCTAACTGTCATGACTGTGTATTGCTACCTTAAGGTTAAACTTTTTTTTTTTCAATTTCCACTTTAAAAGGATTTCTGTGTTCTGCTAGCTAAAACGAGCAAATTGGCCTGCTAGTTTTGAAAATTGGTTCAGTAATAAATATTTTATGAAGGTTACATGTAGCAGCTGCCACTGAAATGCAACAAAGAAGTCCAAGAAGTTCATCTGCTGTATCATTAGCCTGTCAACACTGAGGTTTTAAGTTTCTAACCCTGCACATGCCAAAGTGTTGGACTCCAATCTTAACTGACTAGGATTGTCAAGTTTTCCTATTGATGATTGGTAGTTCTATATTGGCACTCTGGCATTCTCAACCAATAAAAACTGGTCGCCACGAAATAGCCAATAGTGCTGAATGTGGGGTTAAACACCAAAAATCAATGGATCTATCAAAAAACTTTGTTAACTGTATCATTTAATAATATATGTGTGAATAATTCAATTAATGGGAAAAATATTGTGTAATAAATTATAAGAAATCCACATATAAACCAAGATGGTGGAAAAACACTAGAAACTCCTGAAGGAATGTGCATTCCAATCACATTAAACATTGTCGAAGGTCATGTTCAGGTAAGTTACTTGAGGTGATGCTTCATTTGTTTTGTTTTTAGTCAGGTGATCTTTCATATTTTCTTTTTTATTGTGTCTAAAATTCTGCATTTCCAAGTATTTATGCAGAAACTGAAATTTGTAACAATACAATACAATTTACTGGTATAACATTTTAAAGTTTGGTGGGACTATATTTTTACAGTAAAATTGAAAAATTATCTCAAAATTATATTCTTATTGTTATCATATTTTATCTTATAAATTCAAGTTAAACAATATAAACAAATTGGTATGGACATATTAACACAATTGAATAATTAATAGGATTTGGAAACAAGTTAACTTATCATTGCTTATATCATGTATATTAAACATTTCATAATTATTATTGTTTTAAATTCCTTCTTTGTTTTGCCTGTCTTTGTCATGCCTGTTAGGTTTTAGATTGCATGTCCAAATACATGTGTAGTTAGTGAAAAACTGAAATTTCATAAAATTAATTGCAAAAGGAAATATTTTGTTTAGCCCAATTGAGCATACATCTATATAGTCAGATCAAGCTACATGTATATGACTATGAGGGTCTGGATAGCCTTCATTTCTATTTTCTTTAATATATGTTTTTCTCTTTCCCTATTCATTTTCGTCTATCATTTAAATTTTAGCACCCCATTAATCTCTATTTGTACCTAAAATTGTTTGCCCATTTTTCTCTATTCTTTTATTCCCCCACCCATTACTTTTATTGTGATTTCTGTCAACACCAACAAGGCTATCTAAGGTCAAAGGCTGCAGAATACTTAAAAGCTACAAGATCTATTGAGTGTGGCCATATCTGATTAGTCAGTGTTAAGTTGAAATTCAGTCCAGTTGAGCAGTTGAAAATCTTATTAATATTATGTTGTGTTCATGTTGTTTACATGTTACAAAACAGTTCACAGTCAGTATGATAGTAATAGGTATCATTTTCTCGAACATTGTGAAAATGTGGGTATGACTGGACGATACTGAACAATCATGCTGCCTCAACAAGCCATTTTTCGGCGAAATGTCTGCTTAGCTAAAGGTTTTTATACAAAATTAAATTTGCAAACGGGCACTGACCAATCTAAAGTGTGATCCCATTCTACACTCACTTGTCATGAATTCTTAAAGGCAGACATTTAACATCATAAGGGTGAGTTGCTGTTTATATCTAATTTACAAATTGAATATTTAAAGTTCTTTATACCTGTTTCATCGGGTTTTGGCGAAGATTTATCGCCCTCACCATCCATCTTGAATTTACACCGTTGCTACGTCAAATGCGCATGCTTGCAGGGAAATAACTCTATTTACCCGCGGTTTTCTAAATAATTCATTTTAAATCACGTAATTCATACACATCAAATATAAGTTTAACTTTTTTTTTATATATGTCTCTGAAAGGATGTACATAACTAACTTAAAGAATCCAAATTATAAATGCTATTTGTTTATGACATTTTAGTGGTTATGAAAAAGCTAAAACCGTCTGTATTTCTGTTTTATCATCCAATTGTAAATAAAAATTATTGGTCATAATAATTAATACAATTTAAATTTTGATCCCTATGTGCATGTTTTGAATGAGACGTACAGTTTTGAAAAAGAATTAACAGAAAGTTTAAATTAAATACAATATAAAAACTAGAGGCTCCAAAGAGCCTGTGCCGCTCACCTTGGTCTATATGCATATTCAACAAAGGACACTCTCCAACATTGTAGACGAGAATAGAATTCATGACAAAAATTTATGTTTTGTTGATTTGTACTGCTGATCATTTAGTCTGTTTTCTCTATCTTTTTTAATTTTGCTCAAAACACAAAAGAGGGTAAACAAAAATCCTAATTTAAGGACAATGACTCCTATAAAGAGTTATGTACAGTCTACTAACTATATCGACAGAATTTGACTTGTTGGCAAATCTTGTATTGTTGATCATTTTTGCTTATTTAAGTTTCTATCTATCTATCATAATTTTTATAATATACGGCAAAACGTAAAAAAATGGTAAAAATCGCCATTAAAGAGCAATAACTCCAATAAGGATTCGTCGGACATTTTCCACCATATGGTCTTAATTGTAGATCTTGTCTTGTTGATCACTTTTGCTTATTTAAGTTTCTATCTATCTGTTATAATTTTTAAAAACTCAAAAAATGGTAAAAATTGTCACCAATGGGCAATAACTCTAATAAGGAGTCGACTGACGATTTCAACCATAGACTTATTTGGAGAACTTATCTTGCTGAGCATTTTTACAATTTAAAGTTTCTCTATATCTATTATAGTTTAAAAGATAATAGGCAAAAATGAAAAAAAAAAAAAAAATGGTAAAATTTGTCATTTATAAGGGCAATTATAACTCCTATAAGAAGTTGTCTGACAGTTTTGATGTAAGTGAACAATTGGTAGAGCTCAGCATTCTGAACATTTCTGCCGCTGTCAGATTTTCTCTATTTATAACGGTTTTCAAAATAATAGACAAAAACTTGCATTTTACCCCTATGTTCTATTTTTAGCCATGTCGGCCATCTTGATTGGCAGGCGGGGTCATCGGACACATTTTTTAAACTAGATACCCCAATAATGATTGTGGCCAAGTTTGGTTAAATTTGGCATAGTACTTTCAAGGGAGACAATTTTTGTAAAAGTGAACAGACGACGACGGACGTCAAGTGATGAGAAAAGCTCACTTGGTCCTTTGGGCCAGGTGAGCTAATAAGGAGATATGGTATGATTGCCAATGAGACACCTATCCACCAAAGTAGTTCAAATAAAGTGGATGTAAGCAATTATAGACAACCGTACGGTCTTCAACAATGAGAAAAACCCATACCGTATAGTCGGCTATAAAAGACCCCGACATGAAAAATATGAAACAATTCAATTGAGAAAATTAACGGCCTAATTCATAACAAAACTATTTACGAAAAACAACTATGACAGACATGAACCAACGACAACCACTGAACTACAGGCTATAGTATAAGTATATATTTTCAAGATTGTTGTCACGGTGATGGCTATGACCAATATATATCAATGAATAAGTTCCAGGTGATGCATTCACGGGAAAAACTAGGCATAACATAAGCATAGCAGATTAAAAACATAGAAAAAAACCATCGTAAACAGAAAAGCCCACCAGAGCTGTAACAGGGTTTCCTATTTTACTAGATTAAGAATCATTTATAATAAAATTGATTGGAAAACTCTAGCTGAACGAAAGAAAAGAGGAAGTAACAACTATTTTATAATATTCAAGATAATAATGCACCATCTTATCTTTGCAAGTTAATTACACCAACAATGCAAAGTACAACTGTTCACCCCTTACGTATAAATCCACCAACAATTCAAAGTACAACTGTTTACCCCTTACGTATAATTCCACCAACAATTCAAAGTACAACTGTTTACCCCTTACGTATAATTCCACCAACAATTCAAAGTACAACTGTTTACCCCTTACGTATAAATCCACCAACAATTCAAAGTACAACTGTTTACCCCTTACGTATAATTCCACCAACAATTCAAAGTACAACTGTTTACCCCTTACGTATAAATCCACCAACAATTCAAAATACAACTGTTTACCCCTTACGTATAAATCCACCAACAATTCAAAGTACAACTGTTTACCCCTTACGTATAATTCCACCAACAATTCAAAGTACAACTGTTCACCCCTTACGTATAAATCCACCAACAATTCAAAGTACAACTGTTTACCCCTTACGTATAATTCCACCAACAATTCAAAGTACAACTGTTTACCCCTTACGTATAAATCCACCAACAATTCAAAATACAACTGTTTACCCCTTACGTATAAATCCACCAACAATTCAAAGTACAACTGTTTACCCCTTACGTATAATTCCACCAACAATTCAAAGTACAAATTTTTGATGTGATTAGCTGTCAATTCATTTTTAGAAGTTACTATTTTAATAATTTTTAAAAATGCTGATTAAGGTAAATTAATTTTAGCTATGATTATGTATGTCATTTTAAGACTTTTATGATGTATTTAAATGGGTTATTATGGTTGCAAACTCCATTGGAAATTTGAATTGAAATTATGACCATGACTGAGGGAAAGATGTTTTTTTTGGAAAATGTGGGGGGGGGGGGGGAGGTTAAAAACAAATTGGTGGTGGGGGGGGGGGGGAGTTTCTCCTCAAGATTTCAGAAATCAAAAAGAAAATCCTTCAAATTTTTTTTAAAAAGGGGGGGGGGGGAGGTCAATTCGCAACAGCATAGTGTATTGCACAAAAGCAAAAAATTGAATATAAATTCAAATCATATAACCAATTCTAAGTTCTTTGACTACAGTTACTCTGTGTCGGAATATTGAATTACAATCCAAATTCAGACCTGTATCAAGCGCGAATATTGTGTCCATTTTTGCCCCAATTGTTCAGGGTTGGACCTCTGCGGTCGTATCCAGCTGCACTCGGCGAAGCAATTTATTGAAATACATGATCTTCACAGACCAAGTCAATGTTGTTTTAGATCCGTCGTGTCGTTGTGGTGCTAAGCTTGAAGATTCATAACAGTTTTTTTTATAATGTCCTAATATAAGAAATAAACTATCTAATAATCTGAACTGGTTACCAAATAATTGTCCTTTAAATTTGAACATCATAACTTCCGGTCATATGTCACTAACTTATGACCAAAATGAAATAATTTATAAAACAATGTGTATGAATTTATTTAAGAGTCAAAGAGTTTATTGATTTATAAAGTAGCATAATAATGTGTATATATTTACTGTGTACAACCATTCACATCATCATTTTTACATATCGCAATCCAATTGTATGCATGTATTGTATTGTATTGTATTGTATTGTATTGTATTGTATTGTATGTATTGTATTGTATTGTATTGTATTGTATTGTATTGTATGTATTGTATTGTATTGTATTGTATTGTATTGTATTGTATTGTATTGTATGCATGTATTGTATTGTATTGTATTGTATTGTATTGTATTGTATTGTATTGTATTGTATTGTATTGTATTGTATTGTATTGTATGCATGTAATGTATTGTATTGTATTGTATTGTATTGTAATGTATTGTATTGTATTGTATTGTATTGTATTGTATTGTATTGTATTGTATTGTATTGTATATGCATGTAAAGTATGCTTTTAACCTAGTCAATTTAGCTATAAAATCGCTCAACCTGCAACTAATTGTAACACAAGGTTTTTTTAGTGCAAATTATAATATAGACTTGTACTAAAAACATACTAAAACTATAAATTGATATTATTTGCGGAAAAGGTTATTTTGGGATGAAATATGTGGTTTTAAGAGGAAAAAATGCTGAAAACTGGAAAAGAAGAAAAATTGTTATTTATGGTTACATTTTTAGACCTAAAGCTTGTTGAAGACATGCAACCTTATCTTTATAGAGTATTATGTAGTCCTCTAGTTATTATTATTCATATTGAAGTAATTTTGAGGTGAAATGAGTGATTTTTAGTGAAAAAACGCTGAAAACTGGAAACGTAGAAAATCTCCGTTGTTCATGGTTAATATTTTTTAAAACTTGATCTATATAGAAAAAGAACATAGAGTGGGGCGCACATATTCGCCGGGGACACAGTTTCGCCGTTTTATGATTTTGAGGTGTAGAAACTTCAAAGGATTGCTGAAATGGAAGAAATATGCCGGTAAATTATATTTTTATAAAAAACGGACAACGATTTTTGGCCAATTTCCTGAATGAAAGAAAGATTTCAAAGAAGTATTTCTTAGTAATTCTTTGACTGATTGCCCTAAATTTCAGTTCTTTACACCTTTGAAATGTCTGCTATTCATCTATAATGAATTTGATGAATATTGTTTAAAGCTGCAGTTATTTGGTTTTAAATAGATGTGTAAAAACGGCGAATATGTGTCCCCCTATGACAAAACATCAGGAAATTTCAAATAGCTTTTAATCTAACTTTTCAGATAAATTTTTTCAGAGAAACACGTTTTCAAGCTAAGAATATTTTGCTTTTGATGTTATCTTCATATAGAAATATCAGTATACTTCAAAAACTTAAAGGTCTGAACATAAACTGCAGAAAACATGGAAAATTATGGCGAAAATGAGCACCCCCACTCTACTATATTATGTTTTATTTGTGAAGTCCTTTAGTTATCAATATTAATATTTCAAATTGGGTAATTTTGGTTGAACATATGTTTTAAGACCGAAAACCCGGAAAACTGGAAATGAAAATATCTCGGTTATTGATAGTTAAAACTTTCAAATTGGGATCTTAACAGAAAATAGAGAATACTATCTAATGATTATCTTAAGAAGTCCTATAGTTATTAGTATTTAAAAAATTGTAATTCTTGTGTTAAATGTGATTTGTAGAGAAAAATTGTGAAAAATGGAAATAAAAAACTCGATTATTCATGGTTAAAACTTTTAACATAGGATCTTTATAGACAGACTATATTATCTTATGTTTATCGCATATGTATTCCTCTTGTTATCGATATCAATAATAATCAATTTGTTGTGTGAAATATTTTGTTTTACACACTAACTACAAAACAAGAATATCAGTATCCATAGTACACGGATGCCCACCCGCACTATCATTTTCTATGTTCAGTGGACTGTGAAATTGGGTCAAAACTCGAATTTGGCATTAAAATTAGAAAGATCTTATCATAGGGAACATTTGTACTAAGTTTCAATATGGTTGGACTTCAACTTTATAAAAAAATACCTTGACCAAAAACTTTAACAAAAAACTTTAATCTCAAGCAGGACAGACGGACGAACGAACAGACGCACAGACAGAAAAATATAATGCCCCTAAGTGAGGGGCATATAAAATGAAAAATTTAAAATCTTGGTTATTTCTAGTTTGATTTTTAAAAACGAAAAAATGGAGAACGGAAACAGGGAATGTGTCAAAGAGAAAACAAGGCCACTAATGGGTCTTTAACATAGCAAGTAAATCCGGAACACGGAGGTGGGCTTCAGCTGACCCCTTAATTATTTTGTACACTAGTTCAGCAAAATGGACACCACCCTAAACTCCAGTACATACAAATGAACCAAAATTATCACAAAAAAACCACACACAAGACAAATAAAGGCTAGAGGTTCCTGACTTTGGATAGGTGCAATAATGTGGCAGTGGTAAAACATGTTGTGTGAGAACTCAACTCTCCCCTAGTTTCTCTAGACAATATAGAATAAACAAATACACAGTAAAACTCAGTTTTAAATATGTGCATTTTGTGGAAGTTTGAAATTTTATCTTATGTTTCTGTTATGTATTTATAGTAATTATACGTGTAGGTATTATAAACAAAAAATGATTGTGTTCAAAAATAACTGTAAATCAGTTTGGTTACTGACTTTGATTTTGTCATGTTAATTGCTGGAAAAGTCATTTTTCTAGTGTCCTTGCATCGTCATTGACTGTAGTCCTTTTTGTGTATTTTTTCATTAGCTACTTTTACAATATTTGAATTGCATAACGTCACAGTTAAACACAGACGATGTGATTGCAGATTTCTCTTAATATGTTGCTAATTTTATTTAGCAAGCTCTATCAATATCCACGTTTAATTTCAGATATATAAGCTTTTTAAATTTAGGAACATATACTAGTTCACTGAATTAGCATTAAAAGAGGGGCAAAAGATACCAGACTCATAGATCGAAAATTAAATGTAGATCTGATATTGTTTAAGGCAATTTTAAGAGCAGCTTTGTCAATGCGATTATAAATTTACCTCAAGAGCTTGAATTTAAATAATAATTGTACTAAAGTGGTCCAATTTTGGATGTTGAAAATGAGATAAGCACTGTTGAATCATGCACTTCCTGGAGGAAGTGTTAATAGCAACATCGCCTTAATTTGTGTGTACTCTATAAACCTGCATGTATGTGGTGGTCTGAAACATCAACCAAATGGTAATGACAAAGAACTAACATGGGTTGCCTGCTATATGAAAATATTATGGTCAAAGATATATATATATATATACTTACTAGTATATAAAGAAAAGCATAACCAAGTTATTTATTAAATATATCTCATTGAATTAACTTAATAAAAGGTAATCAGCTTTAGCCTAAGAACTGTAAAAATGCATCATCTGTGTATGAATTAAAATTTGTAGTGTCTGTGGGCGACTTTGATGGCCAGAGATAGCGTTTAGATAGTCATGTCTAATCTGAAAGTGTGTCTGTTGGTTTTTGTAAGACGTTTGGGTTGCTTTCTTGTTGACTTTAAAAACCTCAATTCTCTCTTTATTCATAAATATACTCTATTACAGATATATCAATGTTAAAGACGCTGTTTTCTGCTTCCGGAATTCTGACCTGTATTTAACTCATTTGAACGAAACTATAAAAATATTTAAAAAAATACACCTCATGCCAAAAGAATATAAATGTTTAGCTTTTAAGGTCCACTTAACTCTATCAGTGATCTCTTGGTAGTAAGTTTGATCGCTTGCCAATGAAACCATCACTTATTATAAAATCTCCCCACTTTATAAACACAAGAAGATGTTGTATGATTGCCAATGAGAAAACTTTCCACAAGAGATATCAATGATGTTGGTGTGGATGTAAACAACTATAGTTCATCGTCAAAATATAAAACAAGTCAAACGAGAAACTCAAAGGCCTGATTAATGTTAAAACAATAAACGGAAAAAACAAATATGACAGACAGCAAACAATAACAACCAAGTATTAAAGGGCCACTGACTTGTGATAATCATATTCATAGTGTGCAGGGTTAACCCTGTTTGCGAGCACTCAACCCTCCAATAATCAGGAACAGTTTTTATTTAGGGGTCGGCTGAGGACCACCTCCTGGTGCGGGATTTTCTCTTTGCGTTGAAGGCCCATTGGTGGCTTTCGGCTGTTATCTGCTCTTGATCTGGTCGGGTTGTTGTCTCTTTGACATATAGTATTCCCCATTTCCATTCTCAATTTTATTTAAATAGCAAACAACGTAAGAACAAATTGTAAAACCCAGTTGGAAAGGGCTCAACTCAAAAAGATCAGCACGGAGTATATAACCAATTAACAAAAAGACACTGACTTCTCATAGCTAGTTCAAAGCTTAGTAATTACAGTTGATGAATAAATACTGTAGGCACCGACTAAAATATAAATAAGTACACATCCTATTAGTAACCAATTCAGTGTTACAGTCAAAGCTTTATTTATATGGTGTGTGAGTACTAAGATCGTCGCACATTACATGAGTAGCTATTTGCTTCGAGGAGCCTGAAATTTTCATTTGTGATAAAATATTTAACATAAAATCATTTAACACTCATCATTCTTATTTTTTTATGAAACATTGTTGGATTCTAAATCTTAACATGTTTGTTCCAGAAGGTAAATGAAAAAAAATATATATTCTTTCAAATTGAAATAATTATGTATTGTATTGTATTATTTCAACTGTTTTAAAAAATACAGAACATTTTTTGTATAATTTAATTTTTTTCAACTTTGGCAAATAAGGGGAAGCAACTCATATAACCTTACTTTCACTACAAAACATTTTTATAAATTACACCACTTTCCGCAAAATATATTTTTGTATAGTTTTAGTATGTTGTTCATAGATAGTAACAGACTTGTTTTTTTCAGAGAAAAGCTTTGTGTTGCAATTAGTTGCAGGTTGTACACTAAATTGACTAGACTATTTGTAAATATTCTCTGTTTGTTACTAACTGTTCATGGGAGAAAACTTTATAAGTTTGATTAACTTGTGTCTCATACCTTTTGGATATTGAAGCAATTAATTCATACATATAAAATTGTTTGTATCCTTGCTATAAATATATAAATGCTATATATGTTATATTTCGATATTCTGTTAAAAAATTTCTAAATGCGTATTCATAAAATCCAAATTGTCGCCCATGCAATTACGTGCACTTCGCATTCAGCATAAGTACAATATAACTTCATACTTCATTCTATACACATCCTTGCTCATTCATACTGATTAAACTGTTAAAAACAAACAAAAGTTTAAAGAGAGACTAAAGAGTTTATTTTAATAAATCTATGCAAATTGTACAATATCAAACCGACTTTGCATAATGCGAATTCTGTTTATTCCCGTAAATAAGTAAAAATGCAACTTACTTAAAAAACATATTCGTTTATCTTTCTTGATGTAAATGATTATTCCAAGTAAATAAACTTTCATAAGAAATATGATAGATTGTATTCACTTTTTTTCTTAATTAGGAAATGTTTACTAATATTGTTTCGGGAAGATTGAGATTGTTTTTTTTTACATCAATTAAATACTTCGGAGAACTCTTAATATCGTCATGTAAATAAATATTGAAAACAATGAAATTATTTGAAATTCAAAAGCCTGAGATTTTAGTACTTCATCTGCATTTACGTCAATTGCGTGGATGATGGAAAATGTTAAATATTATAAAGTACAACTTTTCAACAAATTGTATCCTAGTAAAAGAAAGTTTGGATGAGGACAACATATTCTTACGAATTTTGTTTTCTACAAAGTGAGTTTTTAAATATTGAAAATATGTTATGGTACAATTATGATCTTAAATCTTACCAGTGAACATATAATAATAGATTGCCCCGAGGCCAATATGTACTGGCCCCACTACAATTCATCACATTCCACTTTACACATCATCTTACAAGAATGACGACATTGACAAATGATTACAGACTTTGACTTAATTAATGTTATAATTTACATTATGGGAAGTATTATATGACGTGTTAGTATATATTTCTGTTGTTTTTCAACAATTCACAAGATAGAAAAAAATCCTAAGATGAAGCTGATATTGCCCTGTTGTCTAGTTGGTAAGTTCTCTTATATCTATAATTTACATAAATATAACGTACACGGTATCAGTACAAAGGTATAATATTTAATTCTAACATCATTGTAAAACTAAAAACACATTTATATATTACAACAAATGGAATGCGTGTGAAATTACTGAATTTGCATAGAAAAGTCACGTGAAAATCAGTTTCATAACTTCAATCATCACATTTAGGATTTAATAAGCTGAAACTTTTAATAGAAAACAAATACAATCAAACAATGCCTTATACACTTATGACTTGGAACTCTGGTGGATAGTTGTCCCATTCAATGCCTTATACACTTATGACTTGAAATCTGGTGGATAGTTGTCCCATTCAATGCCTTATACACTTATGACTTGGAACTCGGGTGGTAAGTTGTCCCATTTAATGCCTTATACACTTATGACTTTGAACTCGGGTGGATAGTTGTCCCATTCAATGCCTTATACACTTATGACTTGAACTCGGGTAGATAGTTGTCCCATTCAATGCCTTATACACTTATGACTTGGAAATCGGGTGGATAGTTGTCCCATTCAATGCCTTATACACTTATGACTTGGAAATCGGGTGGATAGTTGTCCCATTCAATGCCTTATACACTTATGACTTGAACTCGGGTGGATAGTTGTCCCATTCAATGCCTTATACACTTATGACTTGGAAATCGGGTGGATAGTTGTCCCATTCAATGCCTTATACACTTATGACTTGAACTCGGGTGGAAAGTTGTCCCATTCAATGCCTTATACACTTATGACTTTGAGCTCGGGTGGATAGTTGTCCCATTCAATGCCTTATACACTTATGACTTGAACTCGGGTGGATAGTTGTCCCATTCAATGCCTTATACACTTATGACTTTGAACTCGGGTGGATAGTTGTCCCATTCAATGCCTTATACACTTATGACTTGAACTCGGGTGGATAGTTGTCCCATTCAATGCCTTATACACTTATGACTTGGAAATCGGGTGGATAGTTGTCCCATTCAATGCCTTATACACTTATGACTTGAACTCGGGTGGATAGTTGTCCCATTCAATGTCTTATACACTTACGACTTGAACTCGGGTGGATAGTTGTCCCATTGGCAATTCTACCACATCTCCTTATTTTTATACACAACTGTGTACAACCGATTTTAAGGACAATTATTGTCAAACTTACAACTTGAAAAACTTGTCAATAACCCATTATACATGCAGATTTATAGACAAACGAATAACGACAATATCCTTTGACAGATATAAAAATTATCAGTGAGTACATTTTATTCTAATGTATGTCAAATGATTCTATGTCTTTAATTTTTCAGCATTATTGGTGCTTGAATATGTACAAGGAGCACCTTCTTTACCGAAAGCCACAGTCAAGAACACTGGACCAAGCTGTCCTAGATATCCTGTCAGATATGAGGAAGACTCGTTGGTCATTGAGATTGAAAAGGGGGAGTGTGAAATGTAAGTGTAATTGAAATATTATCCAAACTAGAGTCCTCGTTGTTTCGTCGTCCAATTCGCATGAGGTCCTACCTAACTGTGCTACAGTAGATGGAGATCAGAAATATGGCTCGGCTCAGACCATTATCAAATTTACGTACAAGAACAAAGAAAATGCAATGTTTTTTTAGATAGCACTTGCAAATTTTGACGGGTTAAACTAAGTTTTATAGGATCTAACCCCTACTTAAATACTATGTACGTATACGTTGAATTTCAGTATTTGTATTTGCAAACTCTCTAAAATTAGACTGAATACCTGCATTGTTGAAGGTAGAAAATTTATGTTTATTTCTTTGAAACCGAGAAGACATAACTTCTTCCATGTTAACAAGCACCCCCCTTCCTACCCTCAATATGTTTTTTTTTAAAATCAATCAAGCGATATGACTGTAAATCAATCTATATTTTAATTTGATTGGACTGTAAATAAGTATTATTTCATTTTTATTTAAGTGTAAAGGGCAAAGTAACCAATTAAACATAACATCTAAACGTCCCAAATTTGTTGAAAGTGATCTTAACTCAAGAAAACTACGTTAAATAATGTATACGCCCCCTCCCCCCAAAAAAAAATCAAAAAAAAAAATCCACTCAGACTTTACTTTGATGAATTGTGCCGAAAAAAGGATAAACGTTAGTAATTTAACCTGAAACATGTACATATAGATACATGCATGTGTATCGATAACTCGATTTATTAGTCTTGCACTTTTACATGTACTGATATATTCGGCTCTAAGACTTTTGGTCATCAACATACAATAAATTAAGCAGAAATTATCAAAACTACACGTATTACGATAGTATACTTGATCTTTCAGGGTCATAGCATCTGTGAACATGCACGAAAAGAATGCAGATAAAGTGAAGTCTTTTAGAAAACGTGTAAAAGCTGTATTGAGGTAAGTTTTCACACCTGAATAACAGACTCAGGAAGCAGTACTGGGTATTTGTAGTGAGCACAACAACTAGTAACAATCCATAGGTCGTATTTTTGACTAGATGATTTACATGGACATGTCAGTACTAATATATGTTAAAAAACTTAAGGAAAGGACAGTAAACGTTAATGAGAAAGCAACTTAACAACATCAAAGACAAGTATATAGCAGCCAGCATAAATAAAATTTGGTTCAACCAAGCGCAAAGCGTGAAATCATTCTATACACCTAGTATATATATACGATACTGTGTAAGTGAGTAAGCGTGTTTGTAGATTATCATTCATGAGATGTTATACGCTTTGTTTTGAGAAAATATTAGAACCCAATGATATATAGATAAAAAGTATGAAAAATACACAGACAGATAAATGATATTCATGTAAAAAGACAATATATATGGCATTCAACGCCAAGAATTTTATTTCTATGTGTCTCCTCAGTTAGTTGTGTGTTTTTTTTTTAGAAAAGTAAACATGCCCACTGTTTCCTTTCGTTCTTTAATGACTATTTCTGAAGTGGGATCCAGTCGTACGCCTAGTGATGGAACAAGCGACAATGCAGTTCCTGGCAGTCAAACCTCTAAAAAATCTAAAATAACAGTCATCAATCCTGATATAGGGTTGCCAAATCCAGGACAGGAAGTTGCCAATAAATGTACGAAAACGAACTACAGATTTGTTGGACCTGTTTTAATTATCGACACGGTCCCTGGAGACTGTCAGATGTAAGTTGAAATACTTGTATCAAAACTGTTTTTCAAACTGTAAAAAAACTTAAAGATGAATAACAGCAAGGCAATTTAAAGTTGTATTGTACGTATACAGGTAGCATTTCCAGGACAACAACAAAACAATATGTATAAATATATAAGTGGCTATGGTTTGGAACTATATGAGTTGAATCGTTCTTACAATGATATAGTAGTAAACAGCTGCTTGTTTTTAGTTTTTTAGTTTTTTTTTGTTTTTTTTGCGTTTACTTGTATAGTGTATCTGTATATAAGTTGTTACTTTACCATTGTTTGGGGACTGGTACTTTTTACATGTTCAAAACCTAAATATAAATGTTTATATATCTATACTTAGGATGATAGTTGCACATGGAAAAAGAAAGAATAAAGTGTTCAAACGTCTGAATAAAAAGGGAAAACCAATAAGACCAAGGTAAATATAACAATATTAAATAGTTGGTATTGTCAATGATTCAACTATCCAACAAACGATCAATAGGACAACTGTTCACAAATGACTTACTAAGATGAAACAGTAAATATAAAAATAAGGAGATGTGGTATGATTGCCAATGAGATAACTATCCACCAAAGTTCAGACGAAGTGGATGTAAGCAATTATAGACAACCGTACGGCCTTCAACAATGATAAAAACTCATACCATATAATAGGCTATAAAAGGCCTCGACATGAAAAATATGAAACAATTCAAAACTTACGGCCTAATTTATAATAAAACAATTTACGAAAATCAAATATGACAGACATGAACCAACGACAATCTCTGAACCGCAGGCTCCTGACTTGGGACAGGCACATTACGAATGTGGCGGAGTTAAACATGTTTGTAAGCGATCAACAACCCCCTGGGATTGTGGTGTTACAGAACAACATAAGAACAAACTATAAAAATCAGTAAATATCTACTTTCATATGTTGTTAATTTTCGTTTTGCAAAAAAAGTACACAGATCATAATGCACGTTAAACCATACACAGAATACCGTCGGTGTCATATCGAATGGTTCAATTTACAAATAAAACATTATATTTGTCAGAACAAATTAAGATTTAGTGTTTTAATGTACACCATCGAGGCCAATACAATGCAATTTCAAATATCCATGAAAGGAAGTCCAGACAAAATGGCAAACATAAAAGAAAACTTTTCAAACAATAAATGTGTTACTAGACTTATTATGAAGAAAATATGTCTCGACAATATAAAAGCCTTCCTCACGATACTGAAACAGAACTAGGCCAGTACAGCTCGGGTGTCCGTATTGGTCCAGTTCTCTTGAATTGGACCGAGAAAATCCTTATTGGCCCAGTTAGTGCTTTTAATTGCTCAGTGACATAATTATTTGGCATAAAGAGTATGTTTGTTATGTTGAATAGCAGAAAAAATGTATCATTATAAACAATGGATTTCATCCCACTTACAGATCAAAAATAACTTGTTACAAATGCATGTCTGAACTTGAATATCATTTGACTTTTACTTGTAAGAATTTCTAAGACACGTATATAAGCTATCGTTACCCGATGATGGTCTTTCATAGCCATCACAACAGACTTCGTTCATTCACGACCTATACAAAAAATCAACATGCAATAATACTACAATGATACTTGTAGAATATAAAGGTATAGATGCAATTTATAGTTACACTAGAAAACAACTACTCCTTTAAAACATATTTTCAAATTGTAAGTTTCAACGGAATTAATCTGTAAATCTTGGCTTGTTTTATACTATGGGTAACACTTCCATGAACCCCCCCTTTTCATGTATGTATATGCTATTTCCGTCAGTAAGAGGGGTTCAAAAGAAAGTTTTCCATACTTTGACAGATAATTTTATACTGAATGTTTCGTACTTTATTTTACAGGAAAAAGATCATGTTTGAATATATCGACGAACAATTTTTCTGACCACCACAACATAATAATTCTATGAAATCCGTTGTACCATTTGTAAATTTTTGAATAAAATATATATGATTAAATCAAGTTATATTTAGCCCGACGAGCACTCCAGTTCTAGTCCTAAAATGTCTATTAGAGAAAGATCTATACAGATCTTCATTTAAAAAGAGTAGGGTCAATAGCAGAGTACGAAATTTCAGCTATGTTATTGATAATATCAGTTTAATGCTCTGCATACGGTAGTATGAAGTAATGTTTTAATGGTCCATCTGTCCCGTATCAAGTTAAAGTTTTGGTCTACGGTAATTTATCATTAAGTTGTGCTCACATGGAACATGAAAATGTGAATGTGCGAGTGGGCATGGTGTATAATGGACACGTAATCTTGTTAATAATGATTTTCCTTAGTTTCACCTAACATTATTCAAGTTCTGGATAAGTGGAAAGGAGAAGGTTTAATAAGAGCCATTATTCGGGCACTGAAATAAGAAAAAAATAGTAAGTTTACCCAAATCTTACAAAATTATGTTAATTTTTTTTGATAAGTGAACCAGTTGCTTTAATCTTGAAACTTTAATGCAGAAAAGTCACTTGCGATGTCACTTTGTTTTCATACACATGTCGAAATTTAGGTATTTGACCTTAAATTGCAATTTCACGCATACTTTTTTTGTCAGAATATATATGAGCAAGAGCTTTGCAAAAAAAGCTATTTTACACACATTAAAGTCTTTGTGAAATACAAAAGATATCTTTTGGGTAAAGCTCTTCTTCATATGAAAATATCAATGACAAGATCTCAGAATGAATTGCGGCAGTTTTTGGTGTTTTGTACCAAAAGTAAAAAGTTTGAAGCCCTATAATGCCAATATTTAAGCAAAACTAAAATAAATTGAATACTGATTTCAGACAGATTTAAAATGTCTTATGAAAATCTGAAGGGTGTAAATTGGTAGATTTGTAAACTTTTTGATTTTCGAATTCAAGGGTCCAAAAAATGGCCTTGTCATAAGTTCTCCTTTCTGATTCTTGGTGACGACCATAACATGTATGATTCTTGTTGAAGACCATAACATATGAGGTTCTTAGGTGACAGCCATCACATTTTGATGCAACCATTAAATTCATAAAGATCGATGCATGGCTTATCCGAATATAACAAAAAAAAAACAAAAACAAAAACAAAAAACAAAAAACAACAAAAAACTGCTCTACGTTTACTGAATGGAAAATATCAATTCAACCGTATATATTTGACTAAGTTTAAATTACTCATCTTATCTATATGTTATATATGTATATGTATATGTAAATGTACATGTCTTGTCTTGTTTTGTCTGATCTTTGTGCTTGTTTTAGAGCACATTAAGTATGTTTTTTTTTCTACTTGTGAAATTTGAATTCATCGACGATATTTGTTTTCTTTTCTCAATTTTTGGCATAAATTAATGATGCATCCATGTTCCAATAAGAAGAAAATAAATTATTTGCTTTTACCAGAACCTCGTTGTCTTTACTGTTTTTGTTTACTTTTGTGATTGAGTGACACTGTTGTTATTAGATTGGATCAAATCTGAATTATGTATACTGTTACTGAAAATTATAAACTTTTCTATTTGTCTTAATTTTAGTATGCGCTATACCTTATATACCTGTTAAATTTTGGTGATATATAATCCAAACTTTCTTAATAGATTACGTGTATTGGTATCTATTGTTGTGTATTTTCTGTTGCTGATTCTCCCTTTTTTAATTGTCTTTTTATCATGTGTCGACCTCTGGTTCACCAAGTTTGCTAGTAGTTCTGAAAGAGAGGCGAAAGATATCAAAGGGATATTGAAACTCGTGAGACGAAAACAACCTGACAATGCCATGGCAAAATACAAAAATCGAATAAGACAAATAACAGTATACAAAGCACCAAATTAATTTTCAGTTTTGATACTTTTGTTAGAACTTTCTCTATTCAACACGCGTTAGTGATTCTCCCCCGAATGTTATCAATAAACCTTAGGAATCACTGTAAAATAGTTTATATCTTATACTAAAATACCCCTAAACATTTCTTGTCATCAATGTTTGCAAAGCCAATAATAAATTCATGACCCACATTACACTGAGGAGTGCTTTGTGAGTGAGAAAGTTTAATGAATTGATAATTTGAAAAGAGCAAAAGATGTTACAGATTGACAATACCATGACTGAAAATTTTATAGCAAGACATACAATGCTTTTACAGAAAAGGCAACATAATGACAGACAATGCTTTGGCAGAATATGACAATGCTTTGATAGAAAAGGCTACATAATAAGACAATGCTTTTGTAGAAAAGGCTACATAATGACAGGCAATGCTTTGGCAGAAAAGGTTACATAATGACAGACACTGCTTTGGTAGAAAATGTTATAGAAGGACAGACAATGCTTCGGAAGAAAATGTTATAGAAAGACAGACAATGCTTTGGTAGAAAAGGCTACATAATAAAAGACATTGCTTTTGCAGAAAAGGCAACATAATGACAGACAATGCTTTGACAGAAAATGTTATAGAAAGACAGACAATGCTTTGGTAGAAAAGGCAACATAATAAAAGACAATGCTTTTGTAGAAAAGGCTACATAATGACAGACAATGCTTTGGCAGAGAAGGATACATAATGACAGACACTGCTTTGGTAGAAAATGTTATAGAAAGACAGACAATGCTTTGGTAGAAAATGTTATAGAAAGACAGACAATGCTTTGGTAGAAAAGGCTACATAATAAAAGACAATGCTTTTGCAGAAAAGGCAACATAATGACAGACAATGCTTTGGCAGAGAAGGATACATAATGACAGACACTGCTTTGGCAGAGAAGGATACATAATGACAGACACTGCTTTGGTAGAAAATGTTATAGAAAGACAGACAATGCTTTGGTAGAAAAGGCTATAGGAAGACTGACAATGCTTTGGTAGAACATGATTTAGAAAGACAGATATTGCTTTGGCAGAACATGATTTAGAAATACAAACAAGGCTTTGACAGAACATGATTTAGAAATACAAACAAGGCTTTGACAGAACGTGATTTAGAAAGACAAACAATGCTTTGGCAGAACATGATTTAGAAAGACAAACAATGCTTTGGCAGAACATGATTTAGAAAGACAAACAATACTTTGGCAGAACATGATTTAGAAATACAAACAAGGCTTTGACAGAACGTGATTTAGAAAGACAAATAATGCTTTGGCAGAACATGATTTAGAACGACAAACAATGCTTTAGAAAGACAAACAATGCTTTGGCAGAACATGATTTAAAAAGACAGATATTGCTTTGGCAGAACATGATTTAGAAAGATAGACAATGCTTTGGTAGAAAAGACTACATAATGACAGACAATGCTTTGGCAGAAAAGGCTACATAATGACAAACAATGCTTTGGCAGAAAAGGCTACATAATGACAGACAATGCTATGGCAGAAAAGGCTACACAATGACAGACAATGCTTTGGCAAAAAGGGCTACATAATGACAGACAATGCTTTAGTAGAAAAGGCTACATAATGACAGACAATGCTTTTGCAGAAAATGTTATAGAAAGACAAACATTGCTTTGGCAGATCATGATTTAGTAAGACAGATATTACTTTGGCAGAACATGATTTAGAAAGACAAACAATGCTTTGGTAAAACATGATTTAAAAAGACAAACAATGCTTTGGCAGAACATGATTTAGAAATACAAACAATGCTTTGGCAGAACATGATTTAGAAAGACAGATATTGCTTTGGCAGAACATGATTTAGAACGACAAACAATGCTTTAGAAAGACAAACAATGCTTTAGAAAGACAACAATGCTTTAGAAAGACAAACAATACTTTAGAAAGACAAACAATGCTTTGACAGAACATGATTTAAATAGACAGACAAAGCTTTGGCAGAACAGGATTTAGAAATTCAAACAATGCTTTGGCAGAACATGATTTAGAAAGACAAACAATGCTTTGGTAGAACATGATTTAGAAAGACAGACAATGCTTTGGCAGAACATGATTTAAAAAGACAAACAATGCTTTGGTAGAACATGATTTAGAAAGACAGACATTGCTTTGGCAGAAGATGATTTAAATAGACAGACAAAGCTTTGGCAGAACATGATTTAGAAAGACAGACAATGCTTTGGCAGAACATGATTTAAATAGACAGACAATGCTTTGGTAAAACATGATTTAAAAAGACAAACAATGCTTTGGCAGAACATGATTTAGAAATACAAACAATGCTTTGGCAGAACATGATTTAGAAAGACAGATATTGCTTTGGCAGAACATGATTTAGAACGACAAACAATGCTTTAGAAAGACAAACAATGCTTTAGAAAGACAACAATGCTTTAGAAAGACAAACAATACTTTAGAAAGACAAACAATGCTTTGACAGAACATGATTTAAATAGACAGACAAAGCTTTGGCAGAACAGGATTTAGAAATTCAAACAATGCTTTGGCAGAACATGATTTAGAAAGACAAACAATGCTTTGGTAGAACATGATTTAGAAAGACAGACAATTCTTTGGCAGAACATGATTTAAAAAGACAAACAATGCTTTGGTAGAACATGATTTAGAAAGACAGACATTGCTTTGGCAGAAGATGATTTAAATAGACAGACAAAGCTTTGGCAGAACATGATTTAGAAAGACAGACAATGCTTTGGCAGAACATGATTTAAATAGACAGACAATGCCTTGGCAGAACATGATTTAAATAGACAGACAAAGCTTTGGCAGAACATGATTTAGAAAGACAAACAATGCTTTGGCAGAACATGATTTAAATAGACAGACAAAGCTTTGGCAGAACATGATTTAGAAAGACAGACAATGCTTTGGCAGAACATGATTTAAATAGACAGACAATGCCTTGGCAGAACATGATTTAAATAGACAGACAAAGCTTTGGCAGAACATGATTTAGAAAGACAAACAATGCTTTGGCAGAACAGGATTTAAATAGAAAGACAATGCTTTGGCAGAACATGATTTAAATAGACAGACAATGCTTTGGCAGAACATGATTTAGAAAGACAAACAATGCTTTGGCAGAACAGGATTTAGAAAGACAAACAATGCTTTGGCAGAACATGATTTAAAAAGACAAACAATGCTTTGGTAGAACATGATTTAGAAAGACAGAAATTGCTTTGGCAGAACATGATTTAAATAGACAGACAAAGCTTTGGCAGAACATGATTTAGAAAGACAAACAATACTTTGGCAGAAAATGATTTAAAAAGACAGACAATGCCTTGGCAGAAAATGATTTAGACAGACAGACATTGCTTTGGCAGAACATGATTTAGAAAGACAAACAATGCTTTGGCAGAACAGGATTTAGAAAGACAGACATTGCTTTGGCAGAACAGGATTTAGAATGACAAACAATGCTTTGGTAGAACATGATTTAGAAAGACAGACATTGCTTTGGCAGAACATGATTTAAATAGACAGACAAAGCTCGGCAGAACATGATTTAAAAAGACAAACAATGTTTTGGTAACACATGATTTAGAAGGACAGACATTGCTTTGGCAGAACATGATTTAAATAGACAGACAAAGCTTTGGCAGAACATGATTTAGAAAGACAAACAATGCTTTGGCAGAACAGGATTTAGAAATTCAAACAATGCTTTGGCAGAACTTGATTTAGAAAGAAAGATATTGCTTTGGCAGAACAGGATTTAGAAAGACAGACAAAGCTTTGGCAGAACATGATTTAGAAAGACAAATAATGCTTTGGCAGAACATGATTTAGAAAGACAGATAATATTTTGGCAGAACATAATTTAAATAGACAGACAAAGCTTTGGCAGAACATGATTTAAATAGACAGACAAAGCTTTGGCAGAACATGATTTAGAAAGACAAACAATGCTTTGGCAGAAAATGATTTAAATAGACAGACAATGCCTTGGCAGAACATGATTTAGAAAGACAAACAATGCTTTGGCAGAACATGATTTAAATAGACAGACAAAGCTTTGGCAGAACATGATTTAGAAAGACAAACAATGCTTTGGCAGAAAATGATTTAAATAGACAGACAATGCTTTGACAGAACATGATTTAGATAGACAGACAATGCTTTGGAAGAACATGATTTAGAAAGACAAACAATGCTTTGGCAGAAAATGATTTAAATAGACAGACAATGCTTTGACAGAACATGATTTAGATAGACAGACAATGCTTTGGTAGAACAGGATTTAGAAAGACAGACAAAGCTTTGACAGAACATGATTTAGAAAGACAGATATTGCTTTGGCAGAACAAGATTTAGAAAGACAGATAATGCTTTGGCAGAACATGATTTAGAAAGACAGATAATGCTTTGGCAGAATATGATTTAGAAAGACAGACATTGCTTTGGCAGAACATGATTTAAAAAGACAAACAATGCTTTGGTAGAACATGATTTAGACAGACAGACATTGCTTTGGCAGAACATGATTTAGAAAGACAGATATTGCTTTGGCAGAACATGATTTAAATAGACAGACAAAGCTTTGGCAGAACATGATTTAGAAAGACAAACAATGCTTTGGCAGAACATGATTTAAATAGACAGACAATGCCTTGGCAGAACATGATTTAAATAGACAGACAAAGCTTTGGCAGAACATGATTTAGAAAGACAAACAATGCTTTGGCAGAACATGATTTAAATAGACAGACAAAGCTTTGGCAGAACATGATTTAGAAAGACAGACAATGCTTTGGCAGAACATGATTTAAATAGACAGACAATGCCTTGGCAGAACATGATTTAAATAGACAGACAAAGCTTTGGCAGAACATGATTTAGAAAGACAAACAATGCTTTGGCAGAACAGGATTTAAATAGAAAGACAATGCTTTGGCAGAACATGATTTAAATAGACAGACAATGCTTTGGCAGAACATGATTTAGAAAGACAAACAATGCTTTGGCAGAACAGGATTTAGAAAGACAAACAATGCTTTGGCAGAACATGATTTAAAAAGACAAACAATGCTTTGGTAGAACATGATTTAGAAAGACAGAAATTGCTTTGGCAGAACATGATTTAAATAGACAGACAAAGCTTTGGCAGAACATGATTTAGAAAGACAAACAATACTTTGGCAGAAAATGATTTAAAAAGACAGACAATGCCTTGGCAGAAAATGATTTAGACAGACAGACATTGCTTTGGCAGAACATGATTTAGAAAGACAAACAATGCTTTGGCAGAACAGGATTTAGAAAGACAGACATTGCTTTGGCAGAACAGGATTTAGAAAGACAAACAATGCTTTGGTAGAACATGATTTAGAAAGACAGACATTGCTTTGGCAGAACATGATTTAAATAGACAGACAAAGCTTTGGCAGAACATGATTTAAAAAGACAAACAATGTTTTGGTAACACATGATTTAGAAGGACAGACATTGCTTTGGCAGAACATGATTTAAATAGACAGACAAAGCTTTGGCAGAACATGATTTAGAAAGACAAACAATGCTTTGGCAGAACAGGATTTAGAAATTCAAACAATGCTTTGGCAGAACTTGATTTAGAAAGAAAGATATTGCTTTGGCAGAACAGGATTTAGAAAGACAGACAAAGCTTTGGCAGAACATGATTTAGAAAGACAAATAATGCTTTGGCAGAACATGATTTAGAAAGACAGATAATATTTTGGCAGAACATAATTTAAATAGACAGACAAAGCTTTGGCAGAACATGATTTAAATAGACAGACAAAGCTTTGGCAGAACATGATTTAGAAAGACAAACAATGCTTTGGCAGAAAATGATTTAAATAGACAGACAATGCCTTGGCAGAACATGATTTAGAAAGACAAACAATGCTTTGGCAGAACATGATTTAAATAGACAGACAAAGCTTTGGCAGAACATGATTTAGAAAGACAAACAATGCTTTGGCAGAAAATGATTTAAATAGACAGACAATGCTTTGACAGAACATGATTTAGATAGACAGACAATGCTTTGGAAGAACATGATTTAGAAAGACAAACAATGCTTTGGCAGAAAATGATTTAAATAGACAGACAATGCTTTGACAGAACATGATTTAGATAGACAGACAATGCTTTGGCAGAACAGGATTTAGAAAGACAGACAAAGCTTTGACAGAACATGATTTAGAAAGACAGATATTGCTTTGGCAGAACAAGATTTAGAAAGACAGATAATGCTTTGGCAGAACATGATTTAGAAAGACAGATAATGCTTTGGCAGAATATGATTTAGAAAGACAGACATTGCTTTGGCAGAACATGATTTAAAAAGACAAACAATGCTTTGGTAGAACATGATTTAGACAGACAGACATTGCTTTGGCAGAACATGATTTAGAAAGACAGATATTGCTTTGGCAGAACATGATTTAGAAAGACAAACAAGGCTTTGGCAGAACATGATTTAGAAAGACAGACATTGCTTTGGCAGAACATGATTTAAAAAGACAAACAATGCTTTGGTAGAACATGATTTAGACTGACAGACATTGCTTTGGCAGAACATGATTTAGAAAGACAGATATTGCTTTGGCAGAACATGATTTAGAAAGACAAACATTGCTTTGGCAGAACATGATTTAGAAAACAATTAATGCTTTGGCAGAACATGATTTAGAAAGACAGACATTGCTTTGGCAGAACAGGATTTAGAAAGACAGATAATGCTTTGGCAGAACATGATTTAGAAAGACAGACATTGCTTTGGCAGAACAGGATTTAGAAAGACAGATATTGCTTGGCAGAACATGATTTAGAAAGACAGACAATGCTTTGGCAGAACATGATTTAGAAAGACAGACATTGCTTTGGCAGAACAGGATTTAGAAAAACAGATAATGCTTTGACAGAACATGATTTAGACAGACAGACAATGCTTTGGCAAAAACAGTTACAGAATGACAGACAATGGCAAGTAAAAAAAAGCTATAGAATGACAGAAAGTAATTTCGCCAAAAAAAAATATAGAAAGATAAATAGAAACCTGGACACCAAAAAAACCCAGACTCACACTAAGCAGTACCAATCCCACATATCGCACATGCATTTTTGGCAACAACAAAACGTTTTACTCGATATACAGAATCAGATAATCGTGATAAGATCTAATGTGAATGGGTTTTAGAGTTATAGAATATTTTTACAGAATGGGTTTTAACGTTTTACTAAACAATTGTTTACAATTATATAATTGGTGTTTTATAATTGTCATACAGGAATACAATGTTTAAATATTAATGCACTAAAAATTCTCCTTTTATAGACCTGTGTATGTACTTAATACTGACAAATTTCCGTGGTGTAACGGAAATCAACATTCACAACACTCAAATAAAATGATGGCAATAGTTTCCTTATTCTCATATTATTTTTGTACAAATGGAAGATAAACTAATTTATTGTTATCTATATCTTGTAATCATCTTGTCTTCCTGTCACGGTAAGTTTGTCGTTAGTAAGTCTCTACAAAGTTTTAGCTATAGTTAACGTCTTAATTTTAAACTAAGACTGCGGTTCCTCAGGTAAACGTAACCAAGGAGTGGTTTTGCTGTTTGATCATGCTGCCAAAGTATCTGACTTTGAATATCTATAATTTAAGCACTAGATTGAAGAGTCTTTGCAGCCGAGAATTTAGTACAGAGGAACCTGCTTTCAACATTTCTGCAGGAAGTTCATCCAGTTCACATGCTTTTCCACTTTTTAGTTAAGATATTGAATCAGAAATTTATTTTACTGAAATTCTGTAATCTAATTAACAAAACGTTTAATATTTTCCATATTTTCTACTAGAGCATTTATCTCATTTAATCTTGGTATATTGTTCGAATGTATTTTATTTAGATCTGAAAAATAATTTACCCATTCATCCGGTTCAACAGACTGCATTATTATTATTTTCGTGGAATTTGATTTATAAGTGCCGTTATATGAATTTCTATCATCTGTTTACATAATGTGCATCTATATATCATCACAAAAAAATAGAAAAAGAGCAAGTATTTTCATTTATTTTCAATTTTGACGTATTTAAACCATCCCTTATTAACTGTAGCACTCAATACAGCAATTTCAATTTACACACATAACATGGTATGGTGTATCATTATCTACATGATTGTACACAATAGCTTTAAGAATATTAAGATTTTAGAATACTGTTTTACAGTGCGATTAAGATATGTATTACACTACTAAATACCATGACTTTTAATATCATCTCGAATAGGCATGAAATGTCACTGAACGTCATAAACATGATTGCCAATGAGAAAATTATCAACCCTGGACCAACAGGAGATTATGAATGTATACCTACATATCAATAAGGATCAGCAAGCAGCCTCCAACAAAGATATATACATATTGATGTATTAAGCCCATTACTCAGGTTTGTCTTCACTAACCACAATATGAGTTGACATGAATAGAGTATTACTCTATATAATATCAAGACAAAAGATCATTTGAAAATCGTAAATATCCATGCTCTGCTTATCAATGACGATGTTCTGTCAGCATATATTTGTTCCACCTACCAGAAATTCCTCTGAAAACCTAGTTATAAACAATGCTATAATATATGTTCCTATTGGAATAAATATTATACATTTATTCCGCCAAGAACAAATACTGTTATATTTCTTCCAGTAGAAATAATATTACAGAATCTTTCTTCCCTGTGGAACACTTTAATTAAAAAGAAACTTCTATTCTATGACAGCTCTAGTGGGTTACACTATGAATTCAACGGCATTTAGAAAATATTCCCGTATCAATCGTTCTATGTAGAATTTCATTAAATGGAAATATTATGCATATATCATATTTGGTAATAAATTACCAATAACAACGTTAGTCGTATTTTTTTCTTAAGGCAAACCAATACTGTCAACATCACCAGGAAAATTTGCTGTCTTAGGGAAGAGGTATTCCATTGGATGTGAATACGATAATACTTCAACAAGTTTAGCATTGACAAAAGACGGTAACATAGAGGTTGAGGTAGAAAGAAGAACTTGTAGTGGCACTCATACCGTCAAGAATTACCTGATACAATGTAACACTTCCGGTGACTTGACAGTTACCATTCAGGCAAAGGATGTAACACATAACTTGGACAATACAACGTGGCAGTGTTCTGATAAGATTTCACAAAGTCCACCTTTTCTACTCCGTGTGTACAGTGAGTCATTTTCTGTGTGTAACTTTTATTTATCGAAAATCTAATGAGAAAAAATTATTTCTACGTTCGCTGAACTCATTCCATTGTTATCCACTTATATCAGTATATAGATGTGTTTTATGACAACTAAGCGATGGCCGTTCTACTTCCTGTTATAATACCCATAAATGTATGATTACAAATGTACTTTGCATAGGGTTGGTAAAAGTAAAACTAACGTCATGCTTAAATTATGCATATTGCTTAGATGTACATACGAAAGGATGTAAATTAAAAAGATACTAGTAAAGTTGTAATGTATGTTTTCATATTTGAGATGACAGTTTGCTGACATATATCAACTTTTGAAACAACACTAACAGTCACTTTATACATCAGTATGGCATGTTCCGTCACTATCTTAATTAAGGATTTAGGCGGTACTAACAGAAACTTAACCCGCTGAACACTAAAACTCAATTTTTTTCGACTTAAATTTACAATAATTTGCTAAGTTACTGATTTTCAATAACATATATCAATAACTAATTACAGCTCCTCCTACTAATGGACCCATAACAGAAATAAAAGGTGGTAATAGACCTTTTAAATTTGGTGATGTGGTAACACATTTGTGTACAGTAATCGGAGGATTTCCAAAACCGAGACTAATGTGGAACTCTTTGAATCCTTTCGCTTCGAGGGAAGAATATTATGACGACAAAACAAGAAGAAACATACTTGAAATACAAATTAATATTTCAAAGAGCTACCACTACTATGACTGCACATGCTTTGCTGAACATGAAGCATGGAGTGGACCAATGGATAACATATCAATACCCGTGCTCATACAAAGTAAGTATAAAGAACATAAAGGACGATACCCAATAGATGAGATTCATATGAATGAAATAACGATACCAGTACCAAAACATAACAAAACAAAACAAAACAAAACAATTTTTAAATATATATTGCGTAAGACAGGAGAAATGATCAAATAACACTTAGAAATATAAAGCAAACAATTCATACAAACTGTAATGCCAATCTCGTTGATATTACAATGTATTTTACAGCTGCCCCGATCATTGGCATAAACAACAGAAGTCTATATACCGCAGGTCCTGGAATGCCAGTTACCATTACACTAGATTATTACGCCTACCCGGGAAACACTTCTGTGATTCTGATTAAAAAAGATAACACTGATATTCAAAGTGAAAATATAACTAAAAGAAGGTATGTGAAGAACAATGTAGATTTCACCGCTCAAGGACAAAGGTATCAGTATGAAGGGGAATCAGTTTATTGGACACTTGGGATGTTCAACGAGACAGACTATGGACCTTATAAGATTGTGCTTCAGAATGGCGAAGGGATTACGCGTTTCGCCTTAAACATAACATTCCAAGGTAATTTTCCATTATATATGAATAGAATATTCATACAAATGTTATATGCACTGGTTTAGAAATCAGAAGATGTGGTATGATTGCCAAAGAGACCAATTTCAACCAGACCACAATGACGTACATGTATTCAACAATAGGTTACCTTCCTACCTTTTAAATTCCAAAAATCCATTTCCATACAGCAAGCTATAGTACAAACGACCTGATTTATGTACAAAATAAGAAACGAAAAACAAATATAAAAGATAGCAACCCAAACTACATTTTCTTTGTTCTATTTACTATGTGCTTAATTTCTTATTAAATGAAGGCCCACCATCAGAACCGTACAATGTGAGTATTAGAGATATAACAAGTTATGGATTTACAGTCACGTTTTCTCCTGGTTACAATGGTGGAAACGAACAAACATTCTGTATCAGTCATTGGCCTTCAAATGATCACAAACGAAAGAGAAATGTAAAGTCAAAGAAAGAACCCATCAAAGTGGATAATATGTTTTCATCGACGGATTACCAATTCATATTGTATGCCGAAAACAAAATGGGGAGAAGTTTAGCATCTCAAAAAGACCCTTTGAAGATACGGACGACAATAGGAGAAGCTAGGGATGGTATAACTTATGAACATTGTTGGTTAAATCAATTACATATAAAAAGAAGATGTGGTATGATTCCCAATGAGACAACTATTCACAAGAGACCAAATGACACAAAAATTAACAACTATAGGTCACCGTACGGCCTTCAACAATGAGCAAAGTAATACCGCATTGTCAGCTATAAAAGGCCCCGAAATGACAAATGTTAAACTATTGAAACAAGAAACTAACGGCCTAATTTATGAACAAAATAATGAACAAAAAAAAAACAAATATATAACACAGCAACAAACGACAACCACTGAATTACAGGGTCATGAATTGGGAAAGGCACATACGGAATGTGGCGGGGTTAGCAGTTTCCCAAACCTCCCCCTAACATGGGACAGTGGTGTAAGAGAGAGTATAGCATATAAACAAACTATAAAAAATCAGTTGAAAAAGACTTAACTCATCAGATGGATACAAATAGAAATACATCTAACAAATACTCAAAGTGGACGTGAACGGGTACTTGTGCATCACAACAACAAGAAGACACAATGTACAGACCTGAGAGTACTCACAGTTACTGACCGATAGTTCAAAGCCAATAACAACTAATAAAAAAATCATGCATCTAAGACTAAATCAGTACACTTCCAACATCCAATGGATCTAGTTTAAAGACGTCATAAACAGTCAGAGATAAACACGACCGTGTGCAGTGATAAGCATGTATGTTATTTTCACAAATATATAGTGGTTTTTCTCGTTGATAGTAGACCTCATTAGTAACAATATCGAAAAAGCGAGAAAATTAGATATTCAAAACTAACAGTTGGCATTGATTCACTGTTTGACAGTCGTTCAACTGGGTAAAAATATCAAGCTCCTTAACGTACAAATGTCATCGTCGAATAAAGGTTGTGGTTGAAATGATCAGGAAAAAAGGAAAAAAAGCAACACAAAAGGGGAGCGAAAGATACCAAAGGGACTATGAAACTCATAAGTCGAAAACAAACTGACAACACCATGGTAAAAAACGAGACAAAAAGACAAACAACAGTATACAAAACACAATTTTGAAAACTAAAGAATTAAACTTACGAGACCATTAAAATACACCGGGGATTTCTCAGATGCTCTGGAAGGGCTAGCAGATCCTGCTCCAATCTTTCATTTAAAATACATATGACAAACATCCGTAGCTAGGTAAAAACTATTTGTTTCCCTATGTTCTTCCTGTTGATTGTAGAATTTAAGCGGTAACAAGAATAGTAATACAATATAAATATATATTTAAATTTTCATGTGTTAGAAAGCAATTCTGTCAATGAAAAGGCATATACATACTATCTACTTATTTTTATTATTCTAGGAAGTCACAAGCTGATCCATATTGTTTATTTTGTTGTCTCTGTGTGTTTACTGCTGATACTGACTGCTTTCATATCAGCAATTGTTTTCTGTTATAAACAAAAAACCTTTACACGAGGTAAGCAATAACATAGTAGTTTAATTTGGAATTTTCCAATCTTTTTATTATATCATAAACAAACATCGAAAAAAAATTCTCACTAAACATAATAATATTACTCTAAAGTGTGGGTCAGGTGAGCTGGTAATAAAAAAATATATTTTCCATATTCATGTGACAGTATTCAATATAAATAAAAAAAAAGAATGTGTGTTAAGATGGCAAACGAGACATCTCTCCACCAGAGACCAAAAAACGTAAAGTTTAAAACAAGTTGATATATCATGTTTTACTATTCTTTCCATCAGGCTTTCCTTGATAGAAGATTTGCTGTATAATAGCAGATTCTTGGACCTTAGAATTTGACCCTTCCCTGGTATCTTCTAAGTAAATGAAAAATAAAAACCTCGAATATACATATAAATCTCGACAACAGTTTTAGTTTCAACGTCCATTTTCAAATCCAAATTAAACATTCAAGGTAGTAGCAATATACAGTTATTTAAAATGTAACTATGCAATAGATCAAAATATATTTCTCGAGGTATGAAGATCAGCTCATTGTTCTATTGCCCGAAGCCAACGGCTGAGGGCAATAGAACAATGAGCTGATCTTCATACCGAGGGAAATATATTTTGATCTATTGCACTGTTACACATTCAATAACTGTTTTATTACCTAATACATACTGAGTCAGTTCTAACTGGCAAATTCTTAGAAATAATACACATGAAAGTAACAACTGTATTAATTATAATGTGTAAGGAGCATACATGTACAACCAATACTTTAGAAATTCAATAAAACGAACATGAAATCAGAGTAATTTAAATAACAAGAAATAATTAAAGTCAACATATTAAATAAACGATCAAAACAATAAACCCAAGAACGTTTAAAAGACCCAATTTGATTGGACAACATGAATACCTTTAAACTAATCAGATTTCAGAATAAGAGGTCATAACAGGTCAGTGCAATAGCCTGCACACAGGTGCAATAGAACGATAATTTCCAGTGCAATAGACCATGGAACAAAAAATGGCAGAAAAATAGCAAATAATATAGAAATATTAATAAAACAGTAAAATACTCTTTATTAGGTAATAAAGTATAATACTGAATGCATTTGTATCTGTGAAAAAGTGGGAATACTATAAACTTTGCTGTGAGAAAAATTACTGTTGTACTGCATGACTAAAGTTAGGTGTAAAGACTACATGTGAAACGAAAAAAGATACTAAAGATATTAAAATACAATTCAAATAAATAAATTTTAAAAGTAAAAGAAATATATACTAAAACATTAACAGAATTACCTCCATACATACCACCAAGGGCAACACTTAATACAAACCGAGCAGTATACACTGACAGAGCCGTATTTAGGAGAAGTGTAGGTCTACCTGATTCTGAAACAGTGGATAGAATGACTTCAAGGTGCAAGAGAATTAGACGAGGCAAGTAGAAATCATGGACCTAAAAGATATATAAAAACTTTAAAAAAAAAAAGTTAAAGGAAGGATCTGAAGGGTCTGCACAATAACGGAAAAGCTTACTAAATATCTTTATCGGCTTCTATTTATAAGCATATTATGTGTTATTGTATTTTAATCGGCAAGAGGGTGCTGGTATTTAAAATTATATTCTATTTTTTCTGTTGATATTTCGTTTAAACTTTTTAGTAGTCACTTACTTTTTTTTCTAAATAAGATTTTTAGAAAAAAAAATATATAACGTATTGGATAAACTTTTACAGTCACCAATAAATACCTTTACGGCTGTTGTACAGGGGGGTGTTAATGCCAGGGCAAAATTCTGCCGCCTGTGAATAACAACGCATACATAAAATGCAGGTAAAGGAGAATACTTTCAAAGAATAACACAACATATCTCATTGAATTGTATTGCACCTCAACTTCGAGAATACAGTTGGAGGAATTTTCTCCATCACATTCCGTCACTTACACGTGTGTGGTAAACAAATTGACACAATTCAATTTTTGTTCAATTTGATTTCTATATTTCTTTACAGCAATCAAAGTACCTCCAATTCTTGCTGTATTTAGAAAATCCAGATATCTACCTGACTGCAACGTCATTTCAGATGTACACGAGGCTATTTCAAGAAGTACTAGCAACATTCCAAATGGTAGGCACAAGTAGTTCAAGAATTCTTATCTTTGTAAAAATAATGTGCCACACACACACACACACATAGATAAGGCCAAAGCATATAAATTAAAAAATGTAAGAAATATATACCAGTATTATTAGGAAATTACACATGTACTTATCTTCAAGGTATAAATTAAAAAAAGTTAATGTCCATATTTGTATACTTGCTAGCTTTTGGACACTCTTCAAATGAACACCCATAAAACAACTTCTGATTTTGGTACACGCCTTTTTGGGTGACTTTTTTGTGAAATGATCAAGATTTAAGGACGCCAAACTTTCCATTTGTTTGACAGTCATTGCAGTTCTAATTATGTATGTTGGAATCATTGTTGCATTGAAACATCCAAATGAACGAGGCTGTGTATATATACATCCCACAGCCCAAAAACGGTCAGTCAGCAGGGATGAATACAAGGGCTTTATTGAATCATAGAAAAAGCATGATATATATAGCAAGTCAACATGAAATTTGAGACATTTGTGTGTTACAGGTAATAGCCAGGCAACTAGTCGGGCATCTGATGAACAGCAACAAGTCCGTCAGTCTGCAGCCACCTTTGTAAGTTCATTTTGACATGATTTAGTCAAGTAGTACTCAAAACTGAGTGATAAAAAAAGAAGCTACGGCCAAGAAAAGTTCATTTTGAACAAATAGATCTTATAACAAATTTCAGTGTAACTGTTGTACTTGTTTCATCTTACATTACCTTTTTACGTAGATCATTAGACTTATATTCAAATCATAGATGCACATGTATTTTAAACGGACAAACTTTGCTTACATTGCTACCTGTACTTATGATATACACATCTGTATGTGATTCCAATTTAAAACCAGTTGACCGTATGGAAAATTTATAAAATTTCTGTTAAAAACATCGACGGTTTTCCACTTTTGTAGCTACAACCACGCCATTTTTTCCTTATTTATAACATCCCTGAATTGACACTAATCAGGACTGGGTTACACAAACGTCTATTAAGTTAATAGACTATTAACTTCTAATAGACTATTAAATATCTAATTGACTATTAGTTAATAGAGTTAGTTAATTGCGTTGCACAAATCACTTTTAAGGCTTCCATTAACTAATAGACTATTAAGTGACTATTAACGTTTTAATAGTAAATCAAGCACCATTTAATCCCAAAATTCATTGTGAAGCGCGTGCATGTTTGCGATTTTCATCATTTTTCAGGACGTCATCACGATTTCCTCGATTTTCATCATTTTTCACGACGTCATCATTTTTTTTTATTTTCATCATTTTTCACGATTTCCGCGATTTTCATCATTTTTCAACGGGTCTACTTTCAATTGACACCAAAACATGTCCAATTCCAGACGCTTGAACGTGTCTGTTTTTAAAGGCGCCCACACGAGGCCATTCGTATCTGCTTTTCTTTGTAAAATTTAAACCAGCAGAAAATATATGGTATTGTTTAGAATTATACTGCAATCTGCAGTTTTTGCCCAACGGTTATAAATTTCTCAGTTATTATAATACTAGTTTTAATGTATGCAATACATGGCATAGTATGTCTTCATTTTTCGGTAAAGTATCAATTGTGTTTAGTTTACAAGGCCGTACTTCAACTGTTAACATGCTCAAAACCCCAAAAGGTCAAGAATTATTTTTAAATGTTGTCGATTGAACATTTGTCTAGAAATGACATCGCGGAAGCGTTTTGAGGAAATGACACTTTTTAAAGTGTTAATATGTATATACTAAAAGTATTACGAAATAGTGTAAATAACAATGAAATGCCGACGGGCAGACTGATGGACGGGGTGCCAAACTATAGTCCCCTCAACTCTCGTCCGTAAGGTACTAATTACAGTGTGATAATAAAAGCTCAACTACGCTTGGAAAATGGAAGCTTTGTAAAGATTTCGGATGTAATTGTTTCTTAAAAAGAGAATTTTCGCCAAATTTTTGTTTTTGTAGAGCATGAACTTTTTAAAAGAAGTTGAATATTTGAATGAGCAATATGTATGCAGAGTCTCTTAACTTTCTAGCACGGTTTTAGTAAATCATATTAAAAACACACCCATCCGTAATTGTAAATAATAATTAATACTAATAGATTTCTCCCTTGAATTGTTTTACATTTGTCATTTTGGGGCCTTTTATAGCTGACTATGCGGTATGGGTTTTGCTCATTGTTGAAGACCATATGATGACCTATAGTTGTTGACTTTTATGTCTCTGATGGAGTTGTCTCATTGGCAATCATATCACATCTTCTAATTTTAATATTATAATGATTTTAAATTATGTTTTCAAACTAACAAGTGCGATATTGTTTCATTAGCCCAGAGAGTTAAACTATCCTCATATTGAAATACGCCACCAAGGACCCAGGACTTCGCCAGCCTTGCATAGAACAAGAACAAATTACAGTCAAATTTACTTTAATGATCGTGTAAGTTTTATCAGTATCCTCCTTAGTCATTAAACAACTTAACAGGTCAACGTGTTTAAAATTTACAAATGAAATTGGGAATGGAAACGGGGAATGCGTCAAAGAGACAACAACACGACCACAGAGCAGAAAACATCACAAGGCCACCAATGGGTCTTCAGCACAGCGAGAAAATCGCGCACCTGGAGGCGGGCTTCAGCTGGCCCCTAAACAATAATGTATACTTAGTTCAGCAAAAATAAACGTCACACTAAACTCCGAAACATATAAATGGTATATTTTGTGAAGAAAATGTCGAATATCAGTTTAGGCTAATAAGTTGAAATAAGAAAAGTCAACAGTCTGTGTTATACTTAAAATAGATCTAGTATGTAGTTGTTCTTACGGTTGTTGAACTGCAACAGATGCCTGAAACTGGAAAATAATAAATAACACTCATTATTTTAAACTATAAAATTTGTGTGGTATATACAATATATTTATATTCTGGACATTAATTATGTTATGAGTGTAATGAGCCCTATGATTAGAAAAATAATAGTATTTGTATTAGTTTATTTGTATAAGTATTGCAGCAACTTATTTATTTGACGTAACATTCCCTTTGTAGACCGGGAAAATCCACATAATTATTGATCACCAACTATTAGACCGATGATGAAACATTCTTGATAAACACAAGAAAAGCACAGAATTTGTTGCCTGTAAACCGCTTTTCAGAAATTTTTTGAGTTCGCTAGGAGGGAAATATGAAACGTCTTAAAGCTAGGAGGGAAATATGAAATACTTATATTGGGTTTATTGACAAAACCTGAACATCTCATTCTAATAGATTTGAACAATTACGACTTTGTACAAAAGTCAGAGCAGCACTTCTTATTAAATTACTAGTATTCTATTTATGAAGGCTATCCTTGAACATTGGATTCCATTAGTCATTTAATATAGTACATGCGAAAGGTAATGATTAACACTTAACTTTAAAAATTAAAACTGAATTAGATTTATAATCCTAGAATTAAAAAAGAATGAAAGTCGTCTTTTAACATTAATCAGTTTAATATCATCAATAGATTTCAGCTGTACCAGAAAGTATTGATGTGGAAGAAGATGGAGACAGCGGAAACTATGGACAGATATTTTTCCAAACGGCGACGTTACCTCCACGTGCAGCGAAGTGATCTTCGAAACAGCTCAACTGGATATAGTGTAGCTTGGTGGTGGATTGTTTGAACTTGAAATTTGTAGAGTGCTAAATTGTTCATCAATAACAATAACACAGTCCACACAGTTAATCACCGTTTACAAATTTAACAAATGTACAATACTTATTAATAATAACTTAATCAGTTTATTAATTAGTTTATTGATGTCTATATACTTATGCCTATTGTAATGAGCAATCTATGCAGTTTACAAATTCATTGGTTAAATAGTTTATTAGTTTCTTCGAAAGGAAGATAAACGATTAAAGATCATGGGTATTCAAAATACTTTAAATTCGGAGTATAATAAGTGAACTTGAGATTTCCATAATGGTTAAGTATTCCTAGTAACAAATAATCTGAATTAAGTGTTATTTTTTCTAAACGTGTACGTTCATGTTGCTGCCTGAATACACCTGAATACACAGCCTATCAACATTGACCCTCTGAAGAGTTACTTCTTTTTCAACGAATTAATGAACGAAGATGTTGTTTCATTCAGTGCTTTGCTTTTGCACCAATTGGCATTTCATTTACGCCAAAAAGTCATATTTCAATGCAATGCACCCGTTTGACTTTGCCGAACTACAGTCTCTTTGATTTATGGTTGCTCAGATCTGGACCAATTATTATGTGTTTACTATTCAACTCGAACCTGTTTTTGACTTTATATTTCTTGGTCGTTAAAATAAACTTAAGAATGGTTGTCTTTGGTTGCTGTTTGTCATATTTGTTTTTCGTTATTGTTTTGAAATAAATCAGGCTGTTGGCTTTTTCGTTTTGTTTCAGATTTGTTATATCGGGCCTTTTATAGCTAACTATACGGTATGAATTTTACTCATTGTTGAAGGCCTTGCAATATGCATAGTTGCTTATACATACACGCCATTTGAACTCTGGTGGATAGTCGTCTCCTTCGCAATCATACCATATCTCCTTATTTTTTATATAAACATAAAATGCAGGATCTATTTTTTTTAAATCCTGTCAAATTCTTCCCTTTTTGAGTTTATTATATGTATAGGTCTAGGCACAGGTGTTAAAGGGGCATTAGCTGTCAACTTCATGTTCATCGATTTGACTCAAATTCTCATATTTAATTTATAACATACTAAAACGTCATTTCAAATTACAAAAAGTCTAAAATAAACAATTAGCAATGCATGGACTCGATAATATGTATATCAGCATTTCGTGTGTACTTTAGTCTAGACGCTATCTAATGAACCATCGAGATGACCTCCGAAGACTTTCGACGGTCATATAGCCCGATATAAACATAAATATAAATATAAATATATAGCGAGCACGTGCTTTTGAATTTTCTAGGTCTTTTTAATTTCATGTTATAGGTTCGTTTTTACCTGTATAAGAATGATTTTTTGTAGATCGAATCAGTCAACGAAATGGTTCACCCTTGTTTCACTTTCAATGTTGACATTCTTTTCCTTTTAATAGCTTTGCACGCCAAGTGCATGCGTAATCTATCTCCAGCTAAGGGGTTAAATTCAAGGTCACTTGAATACGGATTCAATTGAGGTCGAATTATTGACTTGCAAGCCAATAATACATCGGCAATGGTTTTTTGCCTATTTTGACACATTTGGGCCAAACTGACTGCTTATGACGAATTATTATTTCAAACTTCCGCTTTTATTAATTCTTGAAACAAAAAGAATCGTATTTTAATTTTTTGTCTGAATTATAGCTAATGCCCCTTTAAAATATATGTATGTTCTAAATACACTCAGTGTGTTTAGTATATTCAGTATATATATATATTTGTCTCGCATTTATGGGTTTGGAAAGATTAAACTGTATGTGTCGATTTTATGTTTTATTGTTATTTTAGAATGTTCTTAAATTAGAGTATGTCTCCCCTTATAACTTGTTTCTCAATCTCAAATACAAGGTTTAATAAAATAATACAGATTTTGTTTAGTTGAATGCTAAAACAAATTTGATAAAATATCAAAAATCTTTTGATAAAGCACTGCTAGTGGAATGCATATATGGGGAAAGTGATAAACCACAAGACGTTTGTTGTCGAGAAATTGAACTCAGTAACGAATCATTTCATCTGTGTCGTTTGGCAAATTCGTTCCTACGCAAATCAATAGTTTTCATGAATATACGTCATAAAGATTTTGTTTAAAAAACTTAAAACTAAGGTTATATCAGTCACACAGATCATATTCATTGCTGAAGAAGAGAGGCGAAGGATACCAAAGGAATATTCAAACTCACTAGTCGAAAACAAACTGACAATGTCATGGCAAAAAACGAAAAACGATGAAAAGACAAACAACATATATATTTTTACGCCTGTCCCAAGTCAGGAGCCTCTGGCCTTTGTTAGTCTTGTATGTTTTTTTGAATTTTAGTTCATTTATATGTTTCGGAGTTTAGTGTGACATCCATTTTCACTGAACTAGTACACATTTTTGGTTTAGGGGCCAGCTGAAGCCCGCTACTAAGGATTTTCTCGCTGTTTTGAAGACCCATTGGTAGCCTTGGGCTGTTTTTTGCTCTTCGGTCGGGTTGTTGTCTCCATTTCCATTCTCAATTTTAACAGTATACAAAACACAACATAGATGATAGAAAACTAAAGACTGAGCAACACGAAACCCCCCAAATACAATAATTTAGTATATGTATAAAAGATAAAGGAGAAGTTTAATTTTAATTATAAGTCAGTATAGAAAATAGTGCTACTTCAACATAATGTGAAACATGTTATGACAAGGGTGCTCAACATTGTTTTGGACCGACAGGTAACACACTTTCTGAAAAGGGACCAAACTATCGTCTTTCATGGAAGAAAAATAAAAATGGTGTAAATAGAAAATCTGACAAAGTCACTTGATTTCTTTTTTCAGCTAAGGGCCTCCTCCAAACATTTGAAGGCCTATAATATGCATTGGATACTCAAACTACAAAACAAACCCTGTCAAATATTAGTTCATCTCTTAAAACTCATATTTCTGTCATTTTAAATAGTCCCATTACTTTTTTTTAAAACACTCATCTTTCTACCCTTTTAAATAGACCCCTTACTTGTTTTAAAGAACTTATAATAAACCTCTGTTATAAAGCATATAAAATAATGGAATTTACTATTTTGGAGATATTTAAGATGAATAACAGCGGTTCCTTCAATTCAAATAATATTTATGACTTTTCTAGAAAGCAGTTCCACACAATTTTATCACACAGAAATTTTCTTATTTAATCAGACAGTCCTTGGAAATATTTGAATGCATATAATCTTGCAGTAACCCATATAAAATCTTATCCTGTAATGAAAAAGGTAAATATGCTACATGAAGTTACTGGAACTGTGATCGACGATTAAAACTGTAAACGTTTTCCTTGACATCATCTATGTAGTTGTAAGTATTCCTATGAGCACCAATTGCGCACCTTTATTGGCAAACTTGTTCAAATATTGTAATGAATCACAAATTCTGGCCAAACTCCGTAAAGATTCGATTAAGAGCCATTTAATGGCATACGATACAGTTTTGATCCCAAGCTATTTTTCACCTGGTCAATTCAAATATGTAATAAAAAATATACCTTCATGTGCTACTTTAAGAGATAAATGGGGTCGAAATTTTAGACATTTACTCAAAATTTCGGTTTTTATGACATTTCTATCCTTTGGATTGACATTCTTAATTTTTTTTATTTCAAAAGATAAACACAAGCAGAATTTTGTAAACACATTTGGAAAGTCTTCTTTACATAAAAATGCTCTTAATTTGTATAAAAATTCTTTGAAAATAATTAATTTTTATCAAAGTTTCATGATTTTAGAAAAAAAACGGCATTTTTTGCTGTATATTTATCTAATTTAAAAAAATTTTCATCGGTGACTTTTTCATAAAAATTGGTACAAATAATCTTCATACGTAATCAAACATAATGTCATTTTAAAAAAGAGGGGTTCATGAACTCATTTTCAAGTCAAATCAGTCTGAACGATAAAAATCAGTCGGAAAATGCATCTTTTCCCGATATGTCAGTTTGACGTCGCGAAAAATAACATTTTACGTTAGCAACGTCATTACCTCCTCTGTAACTTTATCGTATGCCCTTAATCCAAACCAGCTACTCTCTTTAAATAAAGATATTATCAAAAACAAGATAGACGCCTTATACTTATAAAGACAGACACGAGAAAACTTAGAAAAATATCATTGAGAAGTGCACAATTGCCAATTTGAAATATTTTCAAATATGATTCAAATCATTTTGATGTCAAATGTTTGAATATTTGTTTGTTCAATGTCACAGTTTAAAAGTGTTGGTAGACGAAATCTTACAGTTTTGAATGTAATCTGTTTACAGCGCGATAGTGGACATAGTCTCGCGTTATTTGGCACTCGTATTCCTTTATGCAGTTATTTTAAAACAACATGATCAAATAAGTAAAATGTACATGCATAGATTAGCTTATTTACAGATTACCGTTTTTATCAAGAATTACTTTTCATTTCGACTAATTTGTTTAGTACACACCTTCAACATAAAAAGTCTTTAGTCCATAGGATACTGGCAATAATCCCAAACATGGCGGGTATGTTGTAATTTTATTTTACATATTCATATAGACCTGATTATTTCTAAACAAAATGAAATTAATTGTACACTTGGTGCTTGATAAGTTTAAGTAATATTTTTGTAGCATTAACTAAATACTCCCTTAACTATCCAAGAGAGTAGATCAATGGCTGATGAATAGTAGAATTAAAAAAAAAAGACATTTGAAAAAATGTATATTTAATGTTATCAACACAGTAAGGCACCGATCTTTCAATTTTTACGGCGGCATATTATTTTTTCTCTGGAAAAACATTTTTCTTCGATTTTTATCACACACAAACTATTTTTCCAATAACATACAGGAACATTTTTTAAAGCTCCATGTTGATTTATTTTCTAATTTCCAATGGAAGCAAACTATTTTTCACTTCTTTTCCGAGACAATTTTCTCAAGAAATTTAGAAAATCAAACAATTCACTTAAAAACACGCCTCAAAAAGATGAATGGTCGATTTCGTAGCAAGAACGTAAACACAAGTATCCCCTTGGTTAGATTCAGATTTCAGATTAATAATGAAAATAGTGATTCATTTCATTATAAACATTCCACATTCTTTTGCATTATTCGAAAGTAGAGGAGAACATTCTATCAATGTATACATGTACGGGTTATGAATGATTTGCAACTGAAGCTCTTAAGGGGTTGTTATTGAAATGCCCTTGAAGTTCTTTAGGGTTTGATATTAAATTGCCCTTGAAGCTCTTTATGGGTTGATATTGAATTGCCACCGAGGGTCTTTAGGGGTTGATATTGAAATGCCACTAAAGCTTTCCAGAGGTTTGAAATTGAATGGACACTGACGCTCTTTTGAGGTTGATATTGAATTGCCATTGAAGCTCTTTAGGGGTTGATACATGATTGCCACTGAAACACTTTATTGATTGATATTAAGTTGCAACTGAAGCTCTTAATGGATTAATATCGAATTGCTACTGAAGCTCTTTATGGGTTGATCTTGAATTACAACTGAAGCTCATAAGTGGTTGATATTGAAATGCCACTGAAGCGCTTTAGTTGATATTGAATTGCCACTGAAGATAGTTAGGGGTTGACATAATCCACTGTAAAACTGTGTTTCTATTTGTTTATCTAAAATTTGTAAAACAAATGAGAGAGGAGTACAATTCGTGTAAATTGCAGTTCTATTTTTTTTGAAATTACAGTGTTAAATGCATTGTTCATTTCTACTTCTTACAGGAGAAGACACAAACGAGAAAATGACGATAGAGGGCGTTGACATTGGTAAAGTGAGAAACTTTCCATTCTCAGCGTTGAAGACATTAGGTTCTATACAGATAGGTATCGGCGGGATATGTATTGGTTTAGGAATCATAGATTTCTTGTTATTTTTATTTTTTGAAGACAAATTTGTGCCTGATGCAAAAACCAAGGAAACTGAAGCTTATCAGAAGGTAGACACACTAACAAAGACTTTCTCTCCAGTCTGGTGTGGTATTTGGGTAGGTAAATTATTTGGAAAACTAATTACTGTTACAGTAGTCGTTGTCATAAATGTTACTCGACATTCATTCATACGAAACAAGAAAAAAGTTTATTAAACGATAAAAATAATCAGAATATTAAATTATGTTTTGTTTTTATGCCCCACCTAGGGTATTTTTGGGCATGCGCTTATCAGCTATGGACGTGTAAAATATATCTAACCACAAATGGGATATTAAGCTGGATAACGTAAAAGTTAGATGACGAAACTTGCTACATAGCTAACAGACTATATATGTAATGTAAAAACTTCGTAATATTTTACAAATCAATATCATTTGAGAACTTTTGAGAACTTTTTTGAAACGCTTTTGAAACGGGTTCTAATCAAAACAATAACAATGGCGACCTCCATGGCCAAAGAAAGTGAACACAGTTCTGACCATTTGGTAACGAATTCACAACCTATTATTAATTCACCATCTCTGAATATGAACAAAAGGTGTAACCCTGATAGTCCAGATAACCTCCCTGCAACCCAAAAGCAAAATACACGACAGATTAGGCGTCGCAACTCCATAGGCGACCTACGAGATATCGAAAAAAAGACACCAGCAACACGTAAAAACATTACAGACAAGGTCATTGAAGCACTCACCAGTCCAGATGTTCTCAACACAATAATTCCAGTATTGGCTGAAAAAATCAGTGAAACCTTAACTCCACTAATTGAAGAACAAGTGCAAAAATGCATCGCAGCACACGTCGAACCAATTA